ACGTTACTCAAGTGCCCAAAAAGGAAAATTTGGCCGGAATTATAAAATTTGGCTGAAATTATAGGAAATGGGATTTGGGATGGGATTTGGGATTTGGGATGGGATTGGGATTGGGATTTGGGATTGGAATGGGAATGGGATTTGGGATTTGGGATGGAATGGGATGGGATGGGATGGGACTCCCATCCCATTTAAATGGGCGGCAAGTATATATCCGGGGTTCGGTTTCTATCCGGATAAAAGCCGGATAATTTTTTTAATTTATCCGGATAACGATTTCTACCCGGATCGAAGCACTAATCGTATTATACTAACTTGCTATCGATGTTCTACTGCTATTGGCATACAAGATAAATTTAAAAACAAATAATATTCAATGCAATATTATATGGTATTCTAAAGAAATGGTTGAGAGAAAAATAAGTCTTACCTAGAAGATACACGAAAATTTTGTCCTGATGAAGACTGAAAGAAGATGAGAAAGTAAGTTTCAGTATTGTTGGAAGGAAAATGTAAACAACAATCAGATTAGCGATTGTAGTATAATGGTTTACAACGAAAGGAGTTTGCAGCTGAACTGATCTTCGTTTGATTGAAGGTGATTTAACTTCAACTGAAGAAACAATTTTTGGACACGACAATGACCCTAAATATGCTGCAAAACTCACCAACCCTGTAAAATTTTAATGTTTCTACATGATCGGCAAAATCTAGTCTAAGTGGTTTTATTATTAATTCCGTGAATATTATTAGCATGGATTAATATTTGTAGTGTCAATTGAATTACAGTTCTGACTTGCCCCACACTGACAATCTCTAAAAATGGACATAGTGAATAATTTTTCGTTTGTTAGAAAGAAACGTATTGTTTAAAATTAATCAGCAGTTTATTCTCGAAAGGACTCATCAATATGACGACCGCCGGTATTGCGCATGCATAGCCCGCCACCCTGATTTTTCTCATAAACAATTGTTCATTAGGGTCATTAATTGGCGAACGACACAATAAGTAAAGAAACAAAATTTTTGTTAGGCAGATCGTGTATAACATTTATATATTAGAAATTTTATTTGGAAAAATAAAAATTTTAACGACGTCTGCAATTCTGCATTATTATATATAACATTTATTTAAATAATAATTAATTTAATAAGTTGTATTGATCGAACAATAAAAATTATTAGTTAAATTTTGAGCATCTCCATTCATTCTACAAATTATTGGGTTCGCCCGGGTTGGTGTCTGAGGATTTATTATATTGATGTATGTGATAAACGTTATTAATGAGATGTATAATAGATTTTGAAATAGTGTATATGGGCGTGTAACCAAATGATACAACTTGAGACAAATAAAAACACTATTGAAAAATAAAATAAAATTTAATGATTGGTTTAATAAAAAAATAAAATATTAATACAAAAATAATTTACATACCTGAATAAATATTGTAGAAACATCTTCAATGAAAATATTAGTGACATCACCCCAAAATAAACTATTTTCTGCTGCTTGAGATAATTCAGCATTGAAATTAATATTTCGAATTTCAAGACCAAAATAATTAATATTTGGAATTTGTAACTGTGATCCAAGCAATTCTAAATGTGAAATATCGACTCCTGCTAATATCGTGAATATTATAACAATTGTTTGATTATCTTTATAATCTCTTAACCATTTTGAAAGTTTTCGATATTTCTTCGGCGGCCGCTTTTTTTCTATCGCTTTTATAATCTCTTCGAATTTCTCTTGAAGCCTACTAAACAATTTCTTAATTTTTATCCGAATACTATCCTTTCCGTTACTTTCTTCATTATTTTCTTTCAATTCTTCTAATTTTTTTTTAAAGCTTTCAAGTTTTTCTAATTCCTCTAATTCCTTTTTAAAGCTCTCAAGTTTTTTTAATTCGCTCATAAATTTATTTTTGCTCGTCGTAGGTTCATTTTCGCTCGTCGTGAGTTCATTTTCGCTCATCGGAGGTTCTTCTTTTGATTCATTCACGATAAGGTCTACAGCTTTATTTAATTGCTCATTAAGTTCTTTAACTTCTTTTAATTCCTTTATTATAAGATTATGAATTTTAATTAATTCATTTGCAAATTTTTTGACAATTCCTTCATTAACTTTTGAAACTTCTTTGTTATCTACTTCTGATTCTTTGTTATCTACTTCTGATTCTTTGTTATCTACTTCCGATTCTTTTTCGACGATAATTTCTTCTAATTTTATAGCAACAAATTTATTAAATTCTAATAATTTCCAAAGTTCATCTAAATGTCCACTAATGTCTACTAATTTTGTTATATGATCGATAATTTTCACCAATTTTTCCTTGGTTTTTACATCATCAACAGGATTCTTTAATATTTCATTAACATCTTTCTTAAGATCGCTAACTTCTTCTTCAATTTTTATTAATTCTTTTCTAGTTTCTCTTATGAGTTTCTTAAATTTTTTTTTGCGATCGTTAACTTCTACTGTGGAATTGTTGCCTTTTTTTACCAAGTCATTAAGTTTTTTAATGTTTTCTAATAATTTTTGGAAATCATATCCCATAAGTTCATCAATTACAACTTTAAATGCAAATCCCAAATTTACGATAAACGGAAATGTCACAAAAAAAAGACTAGAAGAAAAAAAGTGAGGGAAAGGGAAGAGAATAAATCAGTATTTGGAAAAAAAACAAACCTATAAATATACTTCTTTTATTTTACTTTTAGGGGGTTTTTTTTACCTTGTAGTGAAGATATTTTCCACGCTACCCGCATCTATGCTAGTAAAAAGAATTGTCGTCACAAATTTTTCAATAGCGTTGCCACATGTATAAATTGCAAATGTTTTGTTCTAAAAAAAGGGGAAAAGTTAGAAAAATTTTTTTTTATTTTTTGTAATATATTAATATTAAATGAATATTTACCCAATAAGCAAACAACAATAATATAATGTTCAATCCAATTGTTCCAAGAATACTACTCAAATGTTCTTCTAACCACCTGGCTATTTTTATAAAAAAAAAAAAAAAAATATTATTTAGTTATTTGAGATGAAATCCTTTATCCGAAAAAAAATTGGATTCTTACGTATGGGTTCATATCCATATTCTTCATCTAAATAATTTGTATATACTCCAGAACCAATAACAGTAATAAGTTTATATTTTATTAAAGTATTTAAATCACTAGCGACCAAATTAACAGATCTGCTGTCATTTGAATTCTTGGCTCTTTTAATATTAATAGATATAATGTATTGTTCGGGTGAAACGGAAGTATCAATTTCATGTCTTTCATTTGTAGTTATTCGTTCCGGACCAACAGGGACTGCTTTGGCCAATTCTTGTGTTAAATTATCAAAAAATTCTTTACGTTTAATTTTATCATGTTTGAAACTTTTGAAATAAGTGGTTCCTTCTGCAGTCAATCGAACTTTTCCGTTAATGCTAGATTCGTTTAATTTTGTTTCATAAAAAGTTGAAATACTTTTTTGTGTAACTTCTTGTTGAGCTATTATGAAGAAAAGAAGGAATTTTATTTTATGTATATGCAACATCACTTTCATTTTAAATAAGATAAACACTTACTTGTATTAAAATTCCAAGCATTATCTTGTATTCCAATGATAGGTTCTTGAAGATCTTTACTCTCTACAAAACCATCATCAATTAAAACATAATACTTTGTATTAGGCTGATTAAAAGTACTATCAATCACTTTGATTTTAATAGTATAGTCATCAATAGCTTCTACAAAATTTCCATTATCGTTGCTTACAGAAGTAATTTGACGTATAATACCACCATCTTGTAAAATCGTAACGTTACGATAAGGTGATAAATTGACTTTACTATAAAATTTAATTGTAAGGGATTCAATTCCAGATGGATCTATAGTATCACCAATGATCGGGGTTGTGTTGAAGATATGTAAATTTCCATAACCATGATCTAGTAACATTTTAAAAGTTTATACAAGTTAAAAAATATTTTATACGATATACTGTAATTATATTATTTCTCGTTCGTATCACCTTACCACGTGCACCCTCGATCTTATACAAATCAGTGGTGATCAAACCCCAAGTTTGTCCAGATTCCGGTTGAGGGATTACAAGAGTATTATTTGGTAAAATTAAAATATCACCAATAAAATTTGTTATAGTAGGATATGATATGTTCCAATTATAACGTTTACTATTGTCATCCAAAATATAACCATAAAGATTAAGTTTAGTTTTATCTAGATTTGGTGCTGTACTAAATAAGAGATAACCTCCATAATCTAATGGCATAATGGCAAAATCAGTAAGATCAGCAGGGTTTTGAAAAATAGTAATATTATATACAGTTCCCGTTGAAAGAAAATCCATTTTAATAAACGTATTTTGATCTGTTGCTGGGGCAACGTTTAAAACCAGTATACAAGTTTGACCAAATCCCACTTTAGTAAAACCACAATCAAGTAAAATAATTTTTGATACCGGATTTGGAGTTTGATAAAGAACAAATGGACCTTGCGGTTCTGGATTTCCATTTTGTAAAAAAAAGCCATGGATCGATATATATGGAGCAAAAGGGATTGTTGATGACGGCGTAATACCAGGATAAATAATCGCGTATCCTCCGTCCATTGTTGCAACTGTTTCGACTGGAGTAGCCGTAAAATTCATATAAGATTTTGCAAGAAGTTGGATTTCACCATTTTCATTTCTTATAAAAGAAGTAGAAATATTTATTAAATTATACATTAAAATTATTAAAATTAATTTTCGTAAATTAAAATATAATATTTACACTTTGAATTGTTGCAAGATCATAGAATTAGTACTAGTTATGGGTGCCGTACGAAGAAATCCATTATCTCTATGGATATTTAGTCTGATAGAATCTTGAGCGGGCAACCATTCGTTAGTAGTAGTATTAACAAAAGATGTACCTAACCAAAATTTACTATAAAGAAGCGGTATAATAATCTTTATTATTTATGCTCATATCAAATATATAAATAAATAAGTTAATTTATATTACATATATACCTTTTAATTACTCCATCTAAGTCGATAATCATCCCCCAATCATTATAAGTGAAAGGATTGTTTACATCTTCAGCTTCCGCGTAAGTTAAAAACAAAAAATTTTTTTTTACAGGGTAAAATCTAAGAGGGTTAAATTTTGAAAGAAGACAAAAATTGAAAGGTTGTATATTTAATGTATCTGCTGAAAGATCAAATCCTTTAACAGTTCCATTGGGATAAATTGTGCGAATTGATAAGTTTTCCTCCAGACAAAATTTGGGAGGAGCTGTATAGTTTAAACGAACTATTCGAACGACTATCGTGCCATCCTCATAATTATCTATATTTAACACGCGAGGAGTTGAAGGGGTTTCAGGTATTGGTTCTTCAATTATAATGGATGATTTTATTGGTAATATCGCCAGTAAAATAATTGATAAAAGAAAAATATAATATAACCTCATCTTAAAAAAGTAGCATTTACTTTAGAGAGACGAATTTTTTTTTAAAAGGGAAAAGAAAACAAGACATAAATTTTTAGAGTATATACAACTAACTTGTTTTTTTATTATATTGTTGGAGTTTTTTTTTTTCAACCAGTCCCCAAAATTTTCGTAAAGAATTTAACCTTTTTCGAAATTATTATGGTAGCGGAAGAGTAATAAAAAGTGATTTAGAAAATTAAAAAGAGTTAGATTTTGTTTGATGCATAAAATGCATAAAAAAAAAAAAAAAAAAAAATATTTTTTTTATTAAAATAAACAAAATAAGTTTAGTGACGTTACTTTATTTATTCTTCGGAGTTTTTCCCGAAAATTCTTGCCAAGAGATCTTTTTTATCATTTCTTTCTTGTGATTATCAATAATGTGATATGAATTTTATGATTATGCACTCATGTATTTTCATGAACGAACAAATTTCGTTGTTCATCGCAATCATAAATTCTATCTACTGATGATATAATGAAATTTACGTAACGTAGTGACTATCGGTGTATCGTAAAACTTATTATAATGGATAAAAATGTTTATATTCACGGCACAAAAATTTCTCAAATCCGGAAATAAAGAATCAATGAAATTGATTGTGTTACTACTTTAAGGATACACGTACAAGTAAAATTATTAATTAAATTAATTGAAGTAATAATGTATTGTTCATTTTAAGATAAAAAAGATAAAAATCAATTTTATTATTATGATTGACATTTTCGGGTCAATCTGTGCATTATGCATCATTTAACATTACTTTTTTTATTCGTTGCATTTTCTTTTTCCTTATATATATAAGATATATAAGATGGGATCTAACTTCTTTTAGGCTTTTGAACAAATCAATGAAAACTCTTTTTTTTTCCTCCGAAGTTTTTCCGTTCCTGAAATTATCACGTGTACCATAAAAATATTTATATGTTATCATTCGGTGATGTTTATTTCCTTAATTGTTTACTTTTTATACTTTATTTATGCATGCAAAATAATATGTGTGCGTGAATAAACTCATTTCTGATTTATGTAAACACAATCATACAACATATTCAATAATGATTTTTGTTTTTTTTAGCGTTAAATTTATATATAGATTTTACTAATAAACTTATTACAAATGACGAAAATGTTAAAATTTTATGATTCATACAATCTCCGACAAGGAACTTTAATTAAAATATCGAAGAAATTAGAAAGTTTCAATAACTTATGCAATGTAGCATATTTATGTAACATTTCTATATTTTTAAATTTTTACATGTATTTTTAGATCAAGAACAAAAGAAAGAATTAATCAAATTACTGATTATTCGACTAATATAAATTCTTTCTTGTGAGAAATATAAAAAGGGTGGATTCTACCCTTCTTCCATTCCTCATCGAATTCAATATTCGAATAATAAACAGAAATAATATCAAGAGAAAACAATTAATTTTTCCCTTTTTTTTAAAAAAAAATATGACAATGAAATACTTTACGTTTTTGACCTTTTTTATTCTTTTATCTTTCGTTACTATTTCGTCAGCTTTTCCAAGTAGTAATGAACTGTTATCTAATACTCCTGAAAAACGACATCAATGCAGTTGCTCTGTCGCCGCCGCGGATTTCAATTCTGGTCCGGTTATAGGTTACGTATTCTTTGCCCAAGACGAAAATGGTCACACTGAAGTCGCAGGAATCTTTAACAAAGGTTTCGATGATACAAACGCGTCTTACGGAATGAAAATTATTGATGAGTGCAAAAATACACTTTTCGATCTCACGGATGGATTGAATATAAAACCAAATGGTCGTGGCGGTACCAAATCTTTCAGACATAAGTTTACAAATATGAGTATTGACTGTGATGACAATGGTATTCTCACCAAAAAAATTCACCATAATAAACGTAATTGTCATAGCAATAAACTTAGGAAACGTCTTCCTAATGGTGCAATGACCACTCAGGATGGTGAAGGCTCTGGTTACTCTGGAATATCGAAATAATATTATAAATATTATTTCAATTTTTTATTAGTTTTATAATTTACAATTTATTTTTTCTTTTTTATTCACTTTATGTTAAATGATTAGCTAGAATAATATTCTACACAAATTATAATTTAGTTTTCTTTTAGATGCCAATAAATTGTGAAATTTGTCTCAATTAATAATAAAGTAAAGATAATTTTTAAAAAAATTCTCGTTATTTATATAATTTTAAGTGAAATATTATAAATATTGTATACTATAAAATACAGATTCTTAATTGAGCGATAAAATTCAACGGTTTCCGTTTACCTAGTAGTTAATAATAATATAAATTTAAGTTGATATTTAACACTTTTTTTTTCTTTTTTATTATCAGAACAATTTCCGGCTTGGGTATGTACTTTACTCCATTATAAATACAATCAGTAATTCTTTTCTTTTTTTAGACCACTCACGAGATTTTTCTTTCTGGACTGGTTATTATCTAAAATGAAATTTTTCTCACCATAAAGTTTGTCGAGTAGTGATAATATTGATTTTTTTTTATATTTTTTGAAGAATGTTGAAAAAAAAAAAATTTAAATTCCATGTATTTTTTTCGTGTCTCTCTGTAAATTTTAGTAGTAAAATATTAAAAGAATTAAAGAATGTTTATCATTTTTCGATCAAATAAAAGATCGATCGATACAGTAGTACTTCAATGAGTCAATGAACAGTAAAATTGCGAGATCATGCGATCGACATTTCAATAAGAAATCGTATTTCAGATTTTCACGATAACTGTATCACGTGATTAATTTCGAACGAAAAAAAAAAAAAGAAAAAAAAAGTAATTTTCTAAAAGAACAAACAAAGTTTGACCCAATGCTAAAAAATTATCTTAATCTAACATGACTATACATAGTTATAACTATTTAAATATACATAATACTATTAAAGTGAAATGTCAATAAAACTTAAACAAATAAAAAAAAATAAATTGTTAATTAATACCCGTCCCGTATAGCTCTATATTATTAAGTAAAAGTAAACTTTTAAGACAACGTTTGCACAAAAAGAAAATCCATGAAACTTCATAACTTGAAAACTTCTTATAACCTGGTAAATATCTTACTTATAACCTAGCAAGTGTATATTTTGGTGAGAAATTTGTGAGAAATTAGGTTTAGGTTTAACAAACTGAAAAAAAAAATGGGGAAATCAAGTTAGATTTACATTTGGTTACACAATTACATTTCATGCAACAAAGCAAAATCTAATTATAGAAACTGCATGATAAAAATTAAAAAGGAAGGGATCGTAGTATATCCTTTTCTTCCAAAAATCATTATATAAACGATGCAGTGAATTTGATTACATGGATTGAAATTTTCCAAAAACAAAATCTGAATGTCAATCCTAATGAAAATAATTTTATTAAAGAATATTCCATTTATTATTACTTTAATTAATAAATCACCTGTATGTACATTCTTTAAAGAAATAACATAATCAATTTTATATATTTATCGAACTTAAATAGTAACATAATGAGACTCTGACATACCATACTGATGAACAGATTCAAATTATAAGTATCTATTAGTTAATCATGCATTTTATTATAACTCCAAAAAAAGTTTAACAAATCCATTTTTTTGATTATATTCGTTGCATCCAGTATATCAGTATATCATTATTGTTTTATATTGCTAAAATTAAACAATAAAATAAGAAAGTAAAATTTGATTATCTGAAAGTTTATGTCACGCTATTGCAGCCAATAATCAAGGATGACGAAAAAAACAATTCTTTACCATGTAATTATTTTTTCAAAAATTCACTAAAGATTCATCCATCCATCTGAATGTTGTAGAAAACATTTATCCTTTTATTCTTTAAAAAACTGAGCTTATAAAAGTTGCAAGTATACATTCTTTAGCCTCGTTACTTTTTTTTTTGATTTCTGATGACAATACTAAGTCCGTATTCCAATAAAAATTTACTATCTTTTCTTGTGCAACATTGAACTAAACCGCTTTTGAATTATTCAACGATGCTGTGTCTACTATTAAAATGTATCACAGTAAGTACGACTAAAAATATACATTGCATGTCGATCGTAATAACAAATGGGGTATTTCAAAAGAGTTGAATTTTTTGCCTTTCCGCTTACTCCATTTGCCATGTCATCTATTTGTTCTAATTTAAAAGTCAGCTCTTTGTTTTGTGATTATACTAAAAAAATTTATTATTTAAATATTATTGGTTTTTTATTAACTTAATTATTTATGGAAATTTTCAATAAAATTTTTTAATGTTCACTAGAATTTGTAATTGTATTAGTCTAAATGAATGCAAATATTATTAATATACACTATAATAATTAATAAATTATTAGTAAAAAAATCAAAACAATTTGGGGTAGGGTCTAGTATGCATTTCTTTTTTGATATTCCAATGTTAATGGAAAAAAACTCGACTTTATTATTATTATTATTATTATATATAACATACAGCACATTTTCTACGCGTATTTTTTTAATTAAAGAGTGCCATCATAAAAATATGATAATTAATATTGTATAAGCCTTTTGCTAAATTATTCCTAAAAATGAAATCATTTATTTGTATGTTATTGAACGGGGCGTCAAAATATCGGCCGAAGGCCGATATAGCCCCGTTCAATAACAATATTATTATACGTGATATTAGGGCTAATATAATTATATTGTCGATCATCATTAAAAATATCGGGCATGATAACATATCGGTACAATGAATTCCGCACAATCCTAATGAGCGTGTTATAATATTAATTAAAAGCTAAACACCACCATTGCATTCTAAGAATTTTATTCTTGTACAGTATATTATTATTTGACGGATGACGCGATTATAAACTTGGTGTTTTGGCGGCAGTCGAGTTTACAAGTATGTTTTCGTTCTCACAGTAGATCAGATTAATGCTGGCCGAACTTATAATAGCGCGGCAAGCTATACTAATTTTCGTCTCAGGTTCCCATTGGATCCGATGTTGACCGGTTCATCTAGGGACTAAAATTAGTATAAAATTAAATAAATCGTCCAATCACGTGATACTTTCTGTTCAAATCGATCAAAGAAAATTAGTTCATCGTTCTTACAACTGGCATGTATGCTAATGATGCAACTATTTGAGAATGGTACCTCAAAGAAAAGGTGAGATATTTGGATTAAGAGGTCTAACTAGAGTATTAGACAATACCAAAAGTAATACTTGCATTCAATGCTAGTGGATGATCAAAATAAACAAAACGTGAATTACGTGTATTTAAATGATATTTTCATTGAAATATTTTATATTTAGGAAAGTAGTAATAATTTAGGGAACTACTTTTATCATTACATCCTTTTTTTGAAATACCAACTGAAGCAGCATTTGAAACTGGTGAAACTCATTTTACATATACTTTTCAAAAAGTACTTTTCAAATAAGCTAACAATAGATTTTTGGATGTCATGAGAACAGCGTGAAAAGACGCTATGTATAGACGCCTCGCATGTACATGTTGTGTTTTTTATACTTTAAGTAAATTTGTATAATACATACATATTTTGAAGATTTTTGTACTATTTGATTTATGACTCTGATAATCTGGAATAATTGATACGGGAAGAAGCGCCATAAAAAAAAGTATTAACCAATTTAAGTTGTTTCTTTATCCAATTGGGTACATACACTAATTTAGGTTTAAAATAAGCTTCTCGCAGGTTTGGTTTCTGGCAAGTTCATCAAACCAACAATTAGAGGTTAATTACAAAAAAAAAATTCTTTACCATGTTTATTCATTAATCATTTTCCTAAATATTTTCTAAAGATTTCACCTATACCATTCATCTGAATGGTGTAGAACACATTTATCATAAAATTAGTGCACTCAAAGCATTTCGAGCTTATAAATTTGCTTACGGAGAAAAGTATACATTCTTTAGCTTCTCTACATTTTTTTTTTTGGTTTTTTTTTTGGCTTTTGATGATAATACTAAGTCCGTACTCCGATTTTCTCTAACCTTATTTTGAATTATTTATTATTTATTATTTTTTCCTTTAAATATGGGTTGTGTCTGCTACACAATGTATCACAGTATGTCGATCGTAGTTACATATCATCTTGTGCAACATTGAATCTAACCACTTTTGAATTATTAAACGAAGTTGTGTCTACTACACAATGTATCACAGTATGTCGATCGTAGTTACATATCATCTTGTGCAATATTGAATCTAACCACTTTTGAATTATTAAACGAAGTTGTGTCTACTACACAATGCATGTCGATCGTATCATCTTGTGCGACATTGAATCTAACCACAGTAACACAGTAACAGCTTATTGCATCAAATGATTGTAAGTCATGATTATATTTTTTATTTAATTATTATTGGTTTTAATATTTGGTTATTTACTTAATTATTTATGGAATTTTTCAATGAAATTCTTTTATTGTTCACTAGACTTAATTATTTAGTTATGGAATTTTTCAATGAAATTCTTTTATTGTTCACTAGACTAAATTATTTAGTTACGGAATTTTTCAATGAAATTCTTTTATTGTTCACTAGACTAAATTATTTAGTTACGGAATTTTTCAATGAAATTCTTTTATTGTTCGTTAGAATTTGTAATTATTTTAGTCTAAATAATTAATGCCGAAATTCTTTGCCGAAATCCCATATCAAATTTTTAGAGTTGAATTTCGGTAATAATTTGGAATTTTGGCATCAGTTTTGGATTTTCAGCAACAGTTTAGGATTTGGGATTTTAAACAATTATTATATTCCAAGAACTGAAATACTTTTGCTATACGGTTAATAGGTTTGGGATTTCGGCAACCGTTTGGGATTTCGGCAAAGATTTTCGGCACCCAACTCTAAAATGAATACAATTATAATAATATATAATAATTTGTTTATTAATTATTAATAAAAAAAAAACTTGTATCAAAACAAATAATTGACAAATTTTTAATGGGATGAAATGTTTGATGACTGAATTTAGAATTGGGTAGGGACGTAGGATTACATTTTTTTTGGTATTCCGATTATATTTTATTATTAAATAACATAAAGCATATTTTGTACAGTACGCGTGTGTACCTTTTTTTAATTAAAGAAAAATCAAATGTACGTGCCGTTATAAAAATACGATAGTTAATAATAATTTTTAATTTCTTTTAAATCCCTATTAATTAAAAGCTAAAAAAATATGAATATTATACCACCATTACGTTCTAAGAATTTTTATTCTTATATATTATTATTTTACGAATGATGCGATGATAAAATCGACCGTAGAGTCTACTGTAAATACTGGCCGAACTTATCATAGTGCGGGCTGAAATTAATAATTAAATCACGTGATATTTGGTATAGGTTAAAAGTAGAAGTTTTTACAAATCATTTCTCTTTGTGAAATAACAATAAAAATAAAAAAACAATTTGCATGAAGAATAAATTAAATAATTAATAAATACACATGTTATAAAATCCTTCAAATTTAAACAGTTTTTAAATTGATTCAAGAATAAATGTACGTCCAATTAAATGTACGTTCAATTAAATGTACGTTCAATTAAATGTACGTTCAATTAAATGTACGTTCAATTATTACAAAAAATAGCAATAAGGATTGTGATAAATGATAATATTGGGTAGATTTTATTTCATGTACATACTTATATATAAATAATTGCAAATAATTAAAAACATTTTAACAAACAAATCAATTATCATGTGAAAATAATAAATATTTAGAAGCCGCCGTATAATTTTATTTATTAATTTAGTATCATTTCAAATTGATAGAATATTAATAATAGTAATACAGTAATAATAATAAATCAAATTTTTGCTAAATAAATATTGTTAAAAAATTGGCGCATATTATAATGTGTTTGTTGTAACCTCTTGTTGCTGTTTTTTAGTAAGCACATATTTAATTATAATAAATCATTTGCCAAAGAGACCAATACTAGTTTTTGAAATGTTGTATACAGGTGTGTAACTAGGTGACACAACTTGAGTAATATAAAAACTCAATAAGTCTTTAATGTTTGATTTATAAAAGATAAAAATCAATATAAAAATTAATTACATACTTGTAGAATGATTAAAGAAATATCTCCGATAAGAGCGTTAAATAATTTTCCTCACATAATTTTACGCTCCGCTGCATGAGATAATTTAGCATTAAAAATAAATATTAAAACTTTGAGATCGCTTTAATCCAAGCAAATTTAATTTACTACTAGGAATTTAAATTTGTATCTTTGAACAAGCAATTCTAAATGTGTAATGTTAATTCCTGCTAGTTTAATGAATATTAATGCTGTTATTTGATTATCTCTATAATCTTTTAACCATTTTGAAAACTTTTGATATCCTTTATTTGTGTTGACTGGCGATCATTTTCCTCTTTTATAACCTTACTATACCAACTCTTATTTTTTTCCTTGTTTTTTTTCTTATATCACCAACGTTATCTACGTCATCTTCAACTCCATTTTATCTTTTAATTTTTTACTTCATTCAACTTTCCTGTAAATTTGTTAAATTCTTCAGTAAGTTCGTTAACTTTTTCCAATTCAACTCTTAAGTTTTGTATATTCTTCTTTAAGCGCTTTATTCTTTAAAGAATCTTTTGTAAATTCATTTACTTTTTTCAATATCGACATTAATATTTCTTCTGGGAGTTCTTAAGTTCTTTTAATTCCTGTACAAAATCCTCAACTTTTCCAATTCTTTATAAGTTTATTATATCATCGGGAAATTTTTTTAGGGGATAGATATCGATAATTATCACTTAAATCGATGATCAACGAATTGTTAAATGCAGACAATTTATTATATTGATAATTATCAATAAGTTAAATAAGTTAAATGCAGACAATTTGCAATATTGATTAATTATCGTAATTAATTATCATGTTAATTAACGATATTGTTAATAATCATAATTAATTATCATGATAATTGTTGATAAATTAATCATGAAAGTTATTTTTTATACATAATTTTATAATACAATTATTGCTAAATATTAATATAAAATTAAGGAAATTCGTGCAAACTATCCTTAATATATACTGCTTATTTTATATAATAACTATTTTTAACGATAATTATAATTATCTTTCAGCCCAATAGGATCATGCAGATTTTCATAGACCGATATTTTTATTAGTCATAACAATAACACATGATTGATATAATAAAGTGGAGTAAAAAAATATGATGTAAATGAATATTTTGTAGGAAAAGTTTAAATAAAGCTTATAAAGTGGATTAAAAGTAGCATAAAGATGAAATTTACAGAAAGTTAAATAAAACTTATTTATGATGTTATTAATTAATGCATGATCAAAACGTCCGAACGATAACACACTTATTGGAAAGTGATAATTATCCTAAAAAATCCTGATATTTTCAAAAAAAAAAAAATTAAAAAATGATTGTCAAGATCTTAGACTAGAATTGAACTAGCCAAAGTACCAGGATAAGATTTTAAAAAAAACAGAGATATTATAAAAAAAGAACATTATAAAAAAAAAATGAGAGATATAAAAAAAATGAGAGAGATATTATAAAAAAAACGAGGAAGATATATTTAAAAAAAACGAGAGAGATATTATTAAAAAAAGAGAGTTATATTATGAAAAAAAATTCCAAAATGTGGTTTATTTATAGAAAAAAATAATCAGTGGGTATACACAAAATTACGTAACTATTACAAAAAGTTATTCAAAATATGAGTAACTCAGAGATGATTATAAGCATTAGAGTTTTAAACGGGTAAATTTTGTTATGAAACTCACCTTTTTTTTTGTTTTCTAAATGAAACGTTTACTTACGTTTCTTTTTTTTATAATTTTTTTATAGGTCCCAGAGGTATCGATCAGGGGGCACTTGAGATTAGAAACGGTAAGTTTCTTTGCAAAATTTACCATTTCTTTTTTTTTTTTTAATATAAACGTTCATTAACGTTTTATTCTTCTATTTTGTAGGCTCCATGATTTTAGGGTTCAGATACTAGAGATAAGTAAGTTTCATCGCGAAACTTACTTTTTTTTATTTAAAACGTTATTTAACGTTTATTATTTTTTTTTGTAGTCTTCAGATGTTTGAGTTCGAAAGACGTAACTTAAACTAATTTTTTTTTATTTCATTAGGAATTGGAGTTTTGGAAATGGAAAAACATCTTCAGAGTAATTAATTTTAGTATAGATTTAAATAATGTGTTTATTAATTGATTTTTATTGAATAAAACAACTAATTAATCTAACGATATTTAACAAATGAATAATTTAACATTATTTAATGAAGTAACATAATTACATTACACTATTTAACAATAAATAATTTAACTATTTTTAACTATAAGATAATTGTCGTAATTTAACGATACTGATAATTATTTTCAATTTATCCACATCGGTATATCTCGATGAAGTCTGATATATATCATGTGATATTTTCATCAATAATATATCCCCTTAAAAAATTTCCCGATGATGTTGATACTTCTGTGGGATCAGGATCATCTTCTTTTGTATGATCAGAATCACTGTCTACTTCTATTTTCAAATCTTTTGTATAATCAAGATCGCTGGCTACTTCCATTTCATATCTTTTGTATCAGAATCGCTCATTTTCATATCTTTTGTATGATCGGGATCGCTAACTATTTCTGGTACTTTTGGATGATTACCAGTTTTTCTGATTTTTTAGGATTGGTTTCTTTATTTAACAATTCATTAATTTTTGTTAATTATTTTGTAAGGTCAGTTCTTGTAAATTCATCAATTATAATTACAAATGTGATATTCTCATGATTTTTTTAATGGGAGATAGCCAGAAAGTTAGGTTGTAAGTTCAAAATTGTAATAAACCTGTACCAATATATAATTGCATTTCGGCTCCAGATTATAAATTTATATATACTGTATATATAATTTCCCCATCAATCATTAATGAAATCTTTCCGTCTCTCGCAACTTGCAAATTAATGTCCTTAATATTATGTGACAAGTGCGTGTCAAGACGTCAAGTATCTGACGCACGTCAGTTATCACATGACGCAAATCGACACCTGAGACACAACATATACAGTCGACCCCTATAGTCACCCAGATATAGTCACATCCCCCCTTATAAGCACATTTACGTTACCCATTAAATAGCTTATCTTCTTATATTCTTCATAACAGTTGTAAAGAGCGAATTAATTTTGTAAAGTTCACGTAATTGGACTATTAATTTCAGCCTGCACTATGATAGGTTCTGGCGTTCGGCAGACTTGCTATCGTTAACTGAATTAATGAAAAATGCTTCATTATTAGGAATTATATAAAAAAAGGAACAAACAGATTAAAAAGAAGTTTAAAGAATAACATCAATTACCGTATTTTTATGACGACATACTTTGACTTTCCTTGAAGGTACGCACGATTCTCATTTTATGGACTCAAAATTTTGAGATTGGCGGTCGGTATTTTATATAGTATTTATACAAGTTAAAAGGACAGTCCCATAATTTAAGTTTTTTAGATTTTTTTAAAATATGTTAGCATATAAAATTAGGTTGGATGTATAAGAACCAATTATTTATATTTGTCACGCTTAATAGTTACAAATAACATTTCTTTTACGAAAAAAAATTTAGAAAGGTGTGATACATTCTGATAGCTATTAACATACTAACCCTAACCTAATCCTAAACCCGTCGTCAAAGATACAGTAGTTGAGGGTTCATTCCCGTTAAAAAAATTAATTATTTGTATTTGATATAAAAAAAAAAATTTTTTTTTTTTATTTAATATTTTAATTTATTATTGCAATTAAAATCAATTACAAAATCTAGCAATCATTAAAAAGTCTTTATTGAAAATTCCATAAATAATTAAGTAAATAATAAATATTAAATAATCAATAATATTTTAAATAAAAAGTTTTTATTAATCAAAAAAGGTTTGAATTTTAAGAATACACAGATTACATGAAGAATATAGTTATCAAATATACGTTCTTTAATCAAATTTATATAGTTTTTATGGATAAAATGCAATTTTTCATGTGTATTTATTTACATTAAGAATCGATCGAGTAATAAAAAAATATAAAAGTACGCACTGTATATAAATGTAACTTCTTTATAATATGCATTTTGACTGTGATTTATTCGAATTTAAATGTGCAATGTCAACTTCGTGAATATTATCACTACACATTTTGGTTTTATGCCAGTTTTTTATGTCGATTCCAAACCGACTATATATCAGTTCAAATTGAAACTAATCAAACGGTTTTTGGCCTGAATTATATTCGATTTTGGCCAGCACTATGCTTAATTTCGGCCAAGATAATTACCAGGCCCCAAAATATTTAAATTTATTTTGTTATAAAAAAAATATATAAATTTCTTAATACTTTCTTTAAAATGATCGGATTATCCATACTTATTGATTAAGTTATATATTTATTTTAAACCGAATTTCGAATTTTAAATCGTTTCATATTGGTCCCATTTTTCAAAATGAAACTTAAACTGAGATGATCAGTTCGATTTTCGTGATCCTAACCAGAAGACGCAACTATAGTACAGAAAAATTATCTCATCGTTAAATGTCTAAAAGTCTTTCATTGCAATAATATGATTAATTTGAATAATAATTTCATACGAATAGAAATTTATTCGATTAAAGTTAATTTGTATTAACGTTAACGACATAAACGTATTATTAATCGGCGATGCGTAAAGAAACAAAATTTTTGTTAGGCAGATCGTGTATAACAAATTTATATATTAGAAAATTTAATTGGAAAAATAAAAAAATTTTAAGGACATTTGTTATTATTATACATATATATATATAAAATATTTATTTAAATTTAATAAGTTATATTGATCGAACGATGAGAGATTTATTTGGAAGGTTATTTTACAAAATTATTAATCAAGTTTTGAGCATTTCCATTCATTCTTCTGCAGCAGAATTACTGGGATTACACGGGTTGGTGGAATGATTACGTTTATATTGATATATGTGATGTGAGTTAGTACCGAGATGTATAACAGATTTTGCAATAGTGTATATAGGCGTGTAACCAAATGATACAACTTGAGACAAATAAAAACACTATTAAAAAAATAAAATAAAAATTCAATGATTGGTTTAATAAAAGATAAAAAATTAATGCAAAAATAATTTACATACCTGAATAAATATTGCAGAAAGATCTTCAATGAAAATATTAATGACATCACCCCAAAATAAACCATTTTCTGCTGCAGGAGATAATTTAGCATTAAAATTAATGTCAACATTTCGAGTTTCAAGACCACAATAATTAAGACCTGGAATTCCAATTCGTAATTTTGATCCAAGCAATTCTAAATGTGAAATATCAACTCCTGCTAATATCGTGAATAATACTATAATTGTTTGATTATCTTTATAATCTCTTAACCATTTTGAAAATTTTCGATATTTCTTCGGCTGCTGATCTTTTTCTATCACTTTTTCGAGTGTCTCTTCAATATTTATATTTATGACTTTACCACCCAATGTCTTAACATAGTCAAATATACTATTCCTATTTTCTCCCTCTTTTACTTCTTTATTATCCTTTATATCGTCAAATTCTTCTCTTTCTTTTTCCAACTCTTCTCTTTCTTTTTCCAATTCTTCTCTTTTTTTTTCCAATTCTTCTCTTTCTTTTTCCAATTCTTGAATGCTAGTTTTTTCTATTTCTTTTTTAAAGCTGTTAAGTTTTTCTAATTGGATAATAAGTAGTCCTTTTTGGATTGAATCCTTATCTTTTTGGATTGAATCCATATCTTTTTGGATTGAATCCATATCTTTTTGGATTGAATCCTTATCTTTTTGGATTGAATCCTTATCTTTTTGGATTGAATCCTTATCTTTTTGGATTAGATCTTTTTGGCTTTGATCTTCTTTTTTTAATCTATTCATAAAGCCTACAGCTTCATTTAATTGTTTCTTTAGTTCTTCAACTTGTTCGAATCCTTTCATAAGATCATTAAGTCTATTTAATTCTTTTTTAAATTCACGGACAATTTCTTCATTAACTTTTAAATCTTCCACGTTATCTACTTTCGATTCTTTTTCGCTAACGATAACTTCTTTCAATTCTGTATCATCAATTTCTTTCAATTCTTTTAATAATTTCTCAAGTTCATTTAAATGTCTACTAACGTCTACCAATTCTTCGGTAAAATCTTCAACTTGCGTTAAATCTTTTATATGATCGTTAATTTTTACCAAATTTTCCTTGTTGGCGGTGTATTTTTCAGAATCCTTTAATGTTTTATTAACCTCTTGCAAATTTTTCGAGAGTTCACTAACTTCTGCCAACTCTTCTTCAATTTTTATTAATTCACTTCTAGTTTCTCTTATTATTTTTGTAAGTTTCTTAACTTTTTCTTCGTCACCTTTTATTGCTCTTTTTATTAATTCTCTAATTGAATGTGGATGTTTTGTAACATTGACTTTTTTTGGTTCAGCTTCTATTGTATCATTGTCTTTATTTGAATTATCTTCCGTATCACTGGCTATATTTTTTGTATCATTGATTTTTTTGGATTTATTTCTTTCAATAGAATTTGATACGTCATCTTTATGTTTTTTAACGCTTTCCACTAATTTTCCTAAATCATGTCTTAAAAGTTCATGTAATACAATTTTAAATGCAAATCCCAAATTGACGATAAACGGAAATGTTACAAAGAAAAGACTAGAAGAAAGAAATAATGAGGGAAAGAAAAGAGAATAATAAATTAGTATTTTTTTTTTAAAAAAAAAAAATAAATAAATAAATTTATTTGTGTTTCTTTTAATTTTTTTTTTACCTTGCAGTAAAAATATTTTCAACACTATCCGCATCTATGCTAGTAAAAAGAATTGTCGTCACAAATTTTTCAATAGCGTTGCCACATGTATAAATTGCAAATGTTTTNATTATCAACTTTTTAACAATTAACCTGCATACTATATAGAGTTTCAATAAACATATGTAAGGGTCCATAATAACGCCTACTTAAAAGTTCCATGTGAAGATCTAATTTTTTTTTCAATAAAAAAAAAAAAAAAAAAAAAAAAAAATTGGATTCTTACGTATGGGTTCATATCCATAATCTTTATCTAAATAATTTGAATACTCTCCAGAACCAATAACAGTAATAAGTTTATTTCTTATTAAAGTATCTAAATCACTAGCTATTGAATTAACATTCTTGTCATCTTTATTCTTAGCTTTTTTAATATTAATAGATAAGATATATTGTTCAGGTGAAGCGGAAGTATCAATTTCATGTCTGTAATTTGTAGTTATTCTTTCCTGACCAACAGGGACTGCTTTGGCCAATTCATGTGTTAAATTATCAAAAAATTCTTTAACTTTAATTCTGTCATGTTTAAAACTTTTGAAATCAGTAGTTCCTTCTGGAGTCAATCGAACTTTTCCGTCAATGCTAGATGCGTTTACTTTCTTTTTATAATAATTTGATAAACCACTGTTTTGTGTAACATCTTCTTGAGCTATTATGAAAAAAAAAAAAAAAAAGTTGATGGCAGATGCGTTTACTTTCTTTTTATAATAATTTGAGAAACCACTGTTTTGCGTAACACCTTCTTTAGCAAAAAAAAAAAAAAAAAATTTATTTTATGTATATATTTAATATTATTTTCATTTTAAGATAAAGAACTTACCCGTAATAAACCTCCAAGAATCATCTTGTATACCAATGATAGGTTCTTTAAGATCTTTACTCTCTACAAAACCATCATCCATTAAAATATAATACTTTGTATTAGGCTGATTAAAAGTACTATCAATCACTTTGATTTCAATGGTATAATCATCAATAAGTTTTACAAAATCTCCATTATCGTCGCTTACAGAAGTAGTTTGACGTACAATACCACCATCTTGTAAGATCGTAACGTTACGATAAGGTGATAAATTAACTCTATTATAAAATTTAATTGTAAGGGTTCCGATATTAGATGGATCTATAATATCATTAATGTTCGGAATTGTGCTGGAGATATGTAAATTTCCATAACCATGATCTAATAATAATTTAAAAATTTATACAAACAAAAGTTAAAAAAAAAAAAAAATTTTTTTTTATACGATAGTATATATTGTTTCTCGCTCGTATCACCTTACCACGTGCACCCTCGATCTTATACAAATCAGTGGTGAGCAACCTCCAAGTTTGTCCAGTTTCCACTTGAGGAATTATGAGAGTATTATTTGGTAAAATTAAAACATCACCAGCAAAATTTGTTGGAGCGGGGTATGATATATTCCAATCATAACGTTTACTTTGTTCATCCAAAACATAACCATAAAGATTATTTAAAGCTATATTATTTGGATTTGGTGCTATACTAAATAAGAAATAACCTCCATAATCTAATGACATAATAGCAAAATTAGTAAGATCTGCAGGGTTTTGAAAAATCGTAATATTATATACAGTTCCCGTTGAAAGAAAATCAATTTTAATAAACGTATTTTGAGCTACTGTTTGACCTATTGCTGGTGCAAGGTTTAAAACCAGTATACAAGTTTGACCATATCCCACTTTAGTAAAATCACAATCAAGTAATATAATTTTTGACACAGGATTTGAAGTTTGATAAAGAACAAATGGGCCTTGCTTTTCTGGATTTCCATTTTGTAAAAAAAAGCCACGGATCGACATAAGTGGAGTTAAGGGGATTGTTGTTGCCGGTGAATAATCAGGATAAATAACCGCGTACCCTCCGTCCATTGTTGCAACTATTTCGGTTGGAATAGCCGTATAATTCAGGTAAGTTTTTGCAAGAGATTGAATTTCCCCATTTTCATTTCTTATAAAGGAAAAAATATATATATTAAATTAATACAATAAAATTAATTTTCGTAAATTATGATATAATACTTACACTTTGAATTGTTGCAAGACTAATGAATTAGTACCAGTTACAGGCAAACCACGAATAAATCCATTTTCACGATGAACATTTAATATAATAGATTCACGGCCGGGTATCCACTCGTTAGTAGTTGAATTAACATAAGATGGACCCAATCTAGTTTTACTATAAAAAAGCGGAATAATAATTAATTTTATTATTTATGCACACATATATATTTAAAAAGTTAATTAACATATATACTTTTTAATTATTCCATCTAAATCAATAGTCATTCCCCAATCATTATAAGTATAAGGATTATTTTCATCCTCAGCTATTGTATAAGTTATTAATAAAAGATTTTTTCTTATAGGATAGAATCTAATAGGGCTGGCTTTTGCAAGAAGACAAAAATTGAGAGGTTGTATATCTAATGTATTTGCTGAAAGATCAAATCCTTTAACAGTTCCATTTGGATAAATTGTACGGATTGTTAAGTTTTCTTCCACACAAAGTTTGGGAGGAGCTGTATAGTTTAAACGAACTGTTCGAAGGACTATCGTGCCATCATCAAAACAATCTGTACCTAACACGCGAGGAGTTGAAGGAATTGCAGGTTGTGGTTCTTGAAATGAAATAGATGATTTTACTGGTAATATCAACAATAAAATAATTGATAAAAGAAAAATAAAAAGTAACTTCATCTTGAAAAAGTTGAAATTAATTTTTTAGAAATGAATTTTTTTTTAAAAAAAAAAATTAAAGGAAAAGAAAAGAAAAAACTTAATCTTTAAAAAAAAAAAGGATTATCACTGGAATTTTTTTGTGTATATCACCAAATTCATTGAACTTATTGAACAAAACTTTTTTAGATCTATGTTACAAAAAAATAAAAAAAAAGTTAGTCGTAGTAATATCATTATTTTAGTTAATATTACTGGGGTTGTTTTTTTTTTTTTCAATCCAGACTCCGAATTTTTTTGTGAAGAATTTTAATTAACTTTTTTTAGATTTTTCAATCGTTTTCTTAATTTTATCATTCATTCAAACTTTTTAATAAAATATAATATAATAAATAAATAACATCATTAAACTTAATTGTTTATTTTTTCACTTTACCTCCATAATGACTAATAAGGAACTGAATGACCCAAAAAATGCGGCTTTGTGAAACCTTTTTTGATTGTTTCTTTCATATGTTTGGCGAAGTTTATTCTATTATGGAATCTATCGAACCTTATTGATGTACTAGGTATAACAGCATATTGTATTTTAATTATCATGCACGATCATGATCATTTCTAATTTGGCTATTCAGTTTAATGTTTTTGGTATCATTGTAAACATAATTACTATTGTACATTGTAAAAAAGATTTTTCGATGTTTTTTATGCATTCTTATATTATTAGTTATGTAATGATAACGAAAATGGAGGTATTGATGAGATTTTATTTGATGTAGTACGATTTAACGATATTTTTAAAATTTTTTAAAATCTATTTGTATTCTGGTGTATCGCACGTACTGTAACTGTATTATCTAACTTAACGGATAAAAATGTTTAAATTCACGGCTCAAAAATCTCGCAAATCCCGACAAAGAATCAATGAAATTGATTGTGTTACCATATACAAGTTAATATTATTAATTAAAATAACAAAAGTGGTTGTTCATATAAAAACATTTTAGATAAAATCGTTTTTTATTGTGATCGACCATAACCATTTCGGTTACAACAATAAAATAATTTTATTCATTCCATTTTTTTTTTCCTTAAAAATAAAAAAAATAAAATGGGTTCTAACTTCCTTTAGATTTTTAAAAAAAAACCTCCTTTTTTTTTTCCTCCGAAGTTATTCCGTCTCTGAGATTTTCATTAATGACTTTTTTAATATATACTAAATATATTTTATAAAATATATGCATAAAAAAAAAAATTTTTGTATATCATACGATGATGTTTATTTCCATTATTGTTTATTTTTCATGTAAATTAATTTATATGAATAAAAATCATTTCTAATTTCTTCATTGTATTGTGAACACAGCATATTCATCACATTCATCAATGATTCTTTTGGCAATACCCCCTGATATTAGAAGCAAATATATTGTTCTTGTCCTGTGCGACGGGACTGACTTGATCCACTCTTGATCCGCATAATATAAATTTTTATAATAAGAGATCAAGATATGCCACCAGGAGGTACAATTCCGATGTAAATCCTAATATTAAATTCAATTTCTTTTTTTTTTTTTTTTTAGATGATTGTTTGGGCTGTTTGACTAATTTGATTTAGCGTAAAATTTATATATAGATTTTTACTAATAAATCTATCTTATTACAAAAGACAAAATTGTTAAAATTTTACGGTCCATACAATCCGATAAAAAGAAACTTTAATGAAAATTGTAACCTAGAAACACATATGCAATGTAATAGTAACCTATTCATGCATATTTTTAAGATTTTTCACGTATTTTTAGATCAAAATAAAAAGAAACAATTAATTACTATTCGATTAATATAAATTTCTTTCTTGTGAAAATAATATAAAAAGGGTTAATTTTCCACCCTTCCTTCATTCCACATCGAACTAAACATTCGGTTAATTTTAACGAAACAAATAATATTTATAATATTTATCATTAATTTTTTCCCTTTATTTTTTTTTTAAAAAAAAAAACTAAATTTAAAAATGAATTACTTTACAATTTTAAGCATCTTTATTCTTTTATCTCTCATTAATATTTCATCCGCTCTTCCAAATGGTAATGGATCATTAACTAAGCTTAAAAAACGAAATGATTGTAGTTGTTCTTTCGCCATTGCGGATTTCAAATCTGGTTCAGCAAGAGGTATCGTAACCTTTTCGCAAGACGAGTCTGGTCACACCGAGGTCGCAGGGATCTTTAGCAAAGGTCTCAGTGATGATAGCGCATCATACGGATTTAGAATTGTTGATGAGTGCAGGAATGTACTCTTCGATCTCACGGACGGATTGAATATACAACCAGATAGTGATGGTGATGGTAGCAAATCTTTTAGACATAAATTTACAGAATTTGATGTTGACTGTACTAGCAATGGTATCCTCACCAAAAAAGTTCACAGTAGTAAACGTAATAATGATAGTAATTGTCATAACAACAAACTTAGGAAACGTCTTCCTAATGGTGGAGAATTAACTATAAATGGTGAAGGGGCCAGTTATGCTGGATTAACTAAATAATTATATTAAAAATTAAAAATATAATTTCAATTTTTAGTAGTTTTATTATATATTTTTTGTTCACTTTATGTTAAATGAATAGGTAGAATAATTCTGCACAAATTTTAATTTAGTTTTATTTTAGATACTAAGTTTAGTAATAAATTGTAAAATTTGTCTCAAAAATAATAAAAATTTTCTCAATATTTCTATAATTTTAAATTTTAATTGAAACGTATGTTAGTTACTATGAAATACAGATTTTCATTTAATTGAAAGTAAATAAGTAAATGATAAAATATCTTATCATCGACGGAACTAGATACATATAAACTGGGATATCCCATGTATTTTCTTCTAGCTACGTCACTAATATAAATTCCTTTTTTGAATTATACCGCCTGGTTATTTCCTTTTACATCTTTTGTTTTATTTATTTTTCGTAACACTTTAAAAACAAGGCACTACACAATGATGACCATTTACACAAGAATTTTTTTTAAAATTTATTGTTATTAAGCGACTAAGTTCAAGTTTCCATTTACCTATATATGATACATAACACTTTTTTTTTTCCTTTTTTAATATCAGAACTAAATATAGTAAATGATAGTAATTGAATTTCCTGCTTTGGGTATGTCCATTACAGTACTTTACAAATTACAATCTTTAAATGCTAATTATAATCTTTAAATGCTATACAAATTACAATCTTTAAATGCTATACCAATTACAATCTTTAAATGCTCTACCAATTTTGTTTAACTAATTCACGAGATTTTTCTTGCTGGATTGGTTATTATCTAAAATGAAAAATTATTATCGCCATTAAAGTTTGTCGAGTAATAATAATAATATTTTTATTTTTTACATTTTCTTTGATTTCTTTTATATTTTTTGAAGAAAAAAGTTGAGAGGTTTCAAGAAAATATATATCAAGGGAATGCTAATATCAAGAAAAATTTAAAATATACTTTATTATATGATAAAAAAAAAGATTATTCTTTAAATTCATATTACATATGCTTATTAAGAAAAATTATTCGAAGTTAAATTTTTTTAAAAAAATTGAAATTTTTTTCATTCAAAGTATAATAAAAATTTAACAATATTGACCGATCAATATTGAAATAAATAAATGATCCGATTATATAGTAGTACTTCAATGAGGTGTAATAAAATATTTGCAAAATATATCAAAATATATCGGACACTAGCGAGATAAAACGTTGGTAACACAAAAATTTGTGTGTTATACATTACAATGGCGAAATTAGAAATGTTTTTGGTTCATACATAATTAATAATTTCGTGCAACAAATATATCGATGATATGATTTCCAGTTATACTATACATTCTTTTCTTCCAATTAGTTATTTTTATTATATCTATATATATATATATTATATATATAAATATTTATATTTAATAATAAAAAAAATTTTTTTTTTTTATTAAGAAAAAAATATAATGTTATATAATAAATTTTTAATAAAATAAATGATTTATAATACATGAATGGAAAATTTTCAAATTTCCGTTAATATTATAACAAAATAAACACATAGATAACGGATAATACATTTTAAGGTAACACTTGGCGGAATTGTCGGAATTACGGTATATTAATAAACGTGTTTATAATAACTGATAAGGCTATTAAAAAAAAAAAAAAAATTGATTTTATTTATAAAATTTTTAAAAATGAATAATCAATTTAATATTATTCATTCTTTAAAGAAGTAACATAATCAATTTATTCTTTATCGAATTCAAAAAGTAACACAATTCGTTTTATTTATTCTTTATCGGATTTTTTATTCAACACTTTTGTTTACTGTAATATATTAGCTTGAACTTTGATATACCGATATTCGATATACTGATGAACAAGTCGTAAACATCTGTAACATCGGTATATCCGTCCGTATATGTGATATTTAATATCAGGTTTATTAATAATAGGACTGCAAAATCTTATTCATTAAAAAAAACAAAAAAAACAATAGAAATTATTCGACGACAATGATAACAGATGATGTGTGACTGCGTCATGTTTTCAATGAAACCAAATATATCCATCAGAATAGCGAAATTAGAAATGATTTGATCGTACGATTACATGGGGTCCATCAATTCGTGACGCAATATTAATAATTCTAGATACACATTTTATGAACCTAAAAAAAAAAAACTTTTTTCAACGAACTTGACTTGGAGAAAATATTCGGAAATAACTCCCAAATAAAGTATTATATTTCCTATTATGTAATTGAAAGAATAAAAAAAAAGAAAAAATGATTTAAAAAATCAATAAGTTATGTTTCAGCACTAATATACATAATAAAGTAAAAGAAAATGTAACGAGAAAAAATTTTTTTCATTTTTTATATTTTAAATTTCACTTTATCAATATAAAAATAAACAAGCTTGCTTAATTAGTGGCGTTAAAATCTGAGATTATCCGGATATCTATAAAAAATCATCCGGTTATAATCGGTTAAATTCAGATACGGATCGAAACAATAATTCTCATATTATTTTTTTTTTTTCTTTTTAAGTACTTCAATAAATAGAGAATATTCAAGTAGACAATATAATTGATAACCGTGACTTACACGTGATTTACTCGTACATAAATACTGTATTTAATTTAATAATGAATACAAGTAAGCTTATGGTTCGGGTGTCGGTGTAAACATCTAATAAAGAAAAATTAATTAAAAAATAATTGCATTTTGATTGTATTTTTTTTTTTGAAAAAATATAATGATAAATACTCACATAATACAAAATTGATATGAACATATACAAGTCATATGATCGCATTTGTCAATTTTTTCAATGTACATACCACAACCAGGGCATTTCTTTGTCGCTGAAAGATAAGCTTCGGTAGCAAAGTCTTGATTATTTTTCTTCTCTTCATATTTTTCGCAAGTTAGATTTTCGTGCCAGATAACTTTACAATTATAGCATGATATCGCGTCACAAGCTTCACAAATAAAAATTGGATCTAAATAAAAGAAGTAAATGAATTAAATGTATATATACTTCGAAATAAAAAACAAAAACTTTCTCAATTTAATATACCATCTCCTTTATGGACTTGTCCACTTCCACAAGAAGCTTGACACCATCTAAATTCTGGAATCTTTTGAATCGCAAGTTTGAAAGAAAGATAATCATATCTAAAAAAAAAAAGTTATTCGTTAATAAAACACCAATTTTTTTGATATAAAAAGAAGGTTATTAGTTAAACCTTTTAAAAATTTCTTTTGTTGCAATATTCTTGACATCATCTCTTTCCATTGATTTACCACATCCTATTGTAGGACAAGTAATTTGAACCGTATGTTTTTCAATACACATTTTTTCAATACATTTATTTACACATTCTACACAAACAACTGCTTTATGTTTACATTTTGAAGTTATTTTACGAAAATCTCTATCTTCTTTTTCATAACAAACAGCACATTCATATAATTCCATCCCAATGCAACGATTACAACGTATACACGTTATAATAATTGTAAAAATTTTAAGAGAAAATCGTCTCCTAGTTTTTTAAATTTTCTTGCGAGTATTTTAATGGCGTAATTTTATTAGAAATTTTTGTAATCGCAGAATGAAATATTGGACGCCCCGTTTTTAATTATTTATAGTTAATTTCTTTTTTGTATATAATATAATGAATATCCATTGCAGCAATCAAAAATTATGATATCTGATGAAGCCACAATTTCAATATTTTCACGGTCAAACGTAGTGAATTTTAGGTAAGTGGTTTTTTATAAATTATGAAAGAATGGGAATTTACTTATTGTGATTATAAATATAAATCATATGTTATTTACATCAAATACATGATCCGTTATAATTTTAACAAAAAAATCGATTGTGATTATAAATTTAGAGCTCCAAGACCGGTTTCCGGTCTCCGGTTTTTCATATAAAATCGGTTTACTGGTAGAAACCATAGATATATACCTTCAGTATTATTTGCATATATGACTAAAAAGCATAAGTCCACAAAAATAAAACCATTTTATGCAGTATATGGAAGGGAAGCTAGAACTCCATTGGACAAGGATGAGAACAAAATAACGATATTGGAAAGTAATAGAAGAATGGCTTATATAAGGTTGGACCGGTTTGAAACCGGTTTCAAATCTAATTTGGAGCACTAAATTTATAAATATCATATGTTATTTACATCACATTAACACATGATATGTATAATTTTTACAAAAAGTCGGATAAAATTTTGATTACCCCTCTGTATTTCTTTTTAAAAAAAAAAAATGCGCGTCAAAATTAGAGCTTTTGGGTTCAAATTTAAAATCGATGTTGATTCTTGCGATAAAATTAAACAAGTCAAACATAAAATCAAAGAGGCTCACGGACCTGATGTCGATGAACAAGAATTATATCTTGGAGGTCTAAGACTTGAAAACGAAAAAACCGTGAGCGATTATAAAATTGAAGAAAATGGAGAAATTAAACTTCTTCGAATTGTCGTTGGCGGCTTTCAAATATGTATTAAGAATATTAGAGGGAAGGAAATTACTCTTCAAGTACGATCTACATATACTATTAAAAAAGTTAAAGAACTAATTTTTGAAAAGGAAGGGATGGAAGTAGATACGCAAAGGCTAATTTTTAATGGTATTGATCTCTTAAACGATAATCTCTTGTCAAGTTATGGAATTGTAAAAGGAAACACTTTACATCTTGTTAGTAGATTACACGGCGGTTCTCATTTAAGTGTTTGAATATTCTTGTATATTATTAGTTTTCGTCATATTTTTTTATATCAACTTTGTAGTATGATGGTTGTGCTATAATAAATTCTTAAAAATGTAAAAAATTTATATTAAAATTGCTTTTCGATTTTCACAAAATAAAACTATTACAATATTCCATGAAGAAATCGTGTTAAGTCCGTATCAAATAATATTATTATCTATGTTAATTAGCAATTCATAAAACTTTGAATCAAAATTTGTTTCTTTGGAAATTGATGATTTATGGGATTTATGGTTCGATTTCATAAGCTTCAACATGACGCGACGTGAAATCGACATTATACAAAATTATATTTAGTTGAAATCGAAAACTTGTAATTATGTTCATCATCAGTCTTTATTTATGGTTATTTGAAAATCCGTTATTTAAACAACCGTTTATCATTTATTCTCTTATTATTATTATCGAGAGAAATTAATAGCGCGTGCTAAGCGACTTATATAGATTTCTTTATGCGTCCTAAACAAAGTGAACGCTTAAGATGTTCAGAAAATGTACACACAAAATTAATTAATTTCTTCTTTAGCTACTGTCTATTCATAAAATATTTTGCGTAACTATTCTAAATTTGAAATCTAACGGTAATTCACTCGTCTAAATCGTTAACCATATTATTCACCCGTTTTTGCGCGATGTTTCCGCAAATAACTGCCTCAATTCTCCAAGCATGCTATCGGTCAATTTTATATAATTCAGGAAGAATATATTTCTACATACATTCATTATCCATTGGAGTGCACGGTCAACTGTATAAATCAAAAGTATATCAAGTTACCTAATATTTTACATAGTTAATATTTTTAAGAGTTTAAATTAAATTACTATAAAAAATGGCCCATTTTTTTAGATGAATAACTTCTTCTTTCTCAAATATTTTCACACTTATTAGTTTCTCCAAACCATATTTACAAAGTTACGAAGCCTTTTTTTTACATTTACTATTTTACTTGTAAGTTATTTTGCAATTTGAATTTTAAGTAGTTTTCTATCTTTGAGGTTTGATTTTTTTTTTTTAGAAATTTTATTATTAATGCAAGAAATAGGTCTCGTATAAACTATGTTAATAAAGTCGTATCCTTAATTTTTATAATTAGGCTTTTTTTCTCAAAATGCTGAATCATTAACGCCGCTAATTGAACATGAAATATAAATATTACATTATAGAAATTAATTGATATTATCGTCATTATATTTAATTTGTATATATTTACATGGGGATTGCTAACCGTCGCCTGGGTGATTGTCGCATGGGTAGTGCTTCGATCCGTAGCGGTTTCATCCGGATTTTCATCCGGATTGAATTTCATTAAATTTCGCTGGCACTATGAGTTTGGCCAGAATTAGTATAAATTTTTGGGATAATAATACTTTAATGTTGGTTTAAATTATAGTCTGTTTAAATCTGAAATTCATAATCTTTCTCAGCCATAATCGTCACATGAAAATATTCAAGTTTTCATCCGGATCGAAGCACTACGCATGGGTGATTGTCGCCTAGGCTATCATCGCCTGGGTTTTTTTTTCAAATATGTCACATGATGTACAATAAATTTATTTAATCGGCTGATAGTGATTTTTTTAACTTAGCTAATTTTTGATCGGTTAAACTTAAAATTTATTGCGAAGATATTTTTTAAAAAAAATTTTTGCAAACATGTATTTTTATTTGCAAATATTAAAATTTAAGTCACACATTTTACAATTTTAAAGAAAAAAATCACCGTATTTATTTTTAATGAAGCGATACAAATAAAAAAGACAATAACAATAAATAAAAAAGATAAGTAAATTACAATGATCAAGGAGAAAGATGCTAATAAAAAAATGAAACAACTATGGAGTAATGGAAAGTAATAGAAAATGAAAAAGAGTAATGAGAAGTGATAGGAAACAAAAAGGAGGAATAGGACATGATGAGAGATGAAAAGGAGTGATGGGAGACGATGGGAGATGAAAAGAAGTGATGGGAAGATGAAGAGGAGTGATGGAAGACGAAAGAAGTGATGGGAGACGATAAGGAGTGGTGATGAGAGACAAAAAGAAGTGATGGAAACGAAAATTAGTGATAGGAGATGAAAAGGAGCGATGGGAGACGAAAGAAGTAATGGGAAGATGAAGAGGAGTGATGGGAGACGATAAGGAGTGATAAGAGACGAAAAGTAGTGATGGGAGACGAAAAGGAGCGATGGGAGATGAAAAGAAGTTATGGAAAGATGAAGAGGAGTTGATGGAAGACGAAAAGGAGTGATGAGAGACAAAAGGAAATGATGGGAAGTAAACAGGAAAGAAAAAGAGATAATAGAAAATGAAAAGTTGTAATAGAAAATAATGGGAGACGAAAGGTGGAATAATGAGAAGTAATACAAAAAAATAAAAAAAAATGATCATGATAGGAGGTTGGGTAATGATAGGAAACCAAGTAACCATAACAGATAAAGTAAAAAAAATTAAGTTAGTAAGGAATGAAATATAAGATAGAAATGAAATAAATAAAATAAAAAAACATACCTTTATTAATTGTAGAACTGAAAGAACTAAAATATCTAAAAAAAAATGAAATAAAATTAGTGAAAAACGAAATATAAAACAGAAACAAAATAAATAAAAAATAAAAAAATGAGTAAGAAACAAAACGTAAAGTGAAAAACAACCAAACCTTAATTGCAGAACCGGAAGGATTACTAAAGGACTTAAAATAATGAAATAGGGTAGTAAGAAACAAAGTGTAAGCAGAATATAAGTTAACATGTGGCCAAAATGTCACTTTTGAACTTTTGCGCTATACAAAATATTGTCCCATTAAATTACATATATTTATAAATTTCAAATAAATTTGATGTTATATAATTACTAAAGCCTAACTACAAAAATTACTTATTCTAGGCCTATATAATTATAGATAAATCCACTTTTAACTTTTTTAAAAAAATTATGATTAGTAAAAATGAACATATTATAATTAAATCATTAGTATATAAATTAAAACAGATAAATCTGGACAATAAGAAAATTAATAAATATTCAGTATTTACATTTATCATTAGGTGGCTTTTTTTGGTATAGTGACGTGATGGAATGCTGCTCATTAATAACACTATTCTTGTGGCTGATAGAAAGATAGATGATTCTCTGATTATTATCAATGCTGATAATATAAGTCCATGAAACCATTAATGTTATTGCTATTTAATCTAAAAAAAGAAAAAAGTGAGTACTATTGAACCAAATAACATGAATATTTGGCATGGTAACAGAACAAATTTCTTTGCAGATAATGCCTATGCCTAGGTTTAGACACTACACTCATCAGGTTTTTCCCATAACAGAAAGCTAATTTCAGCCCTGCACCAAGTACTCTTACCCTGATGCCTGTTATCCATGCAGCAAAACTCAAACACACAACTTATTTGTGATATTAGGAATTTCTGAAATCAGAGAAGGACGTTCACAGTAACTGTGGCCACGATGTGCTTCCAGTTCTCTGATAATATATATATAAATGTATATATATATTGAAACTCCTAATAAAAATAAATCCATTAAAAGATATCACAATGTTGGAGGTTCATAATTGTTCCTCCTTCAGAACAAAAGACCTCACGTGACCCGTGAGAAAGGTACATAATTATTCCTCCTGTAAAGAACAATAGTTCTCACATCTTTGTCATGCTATGGTGGTCTGGAATTGCCTTCTCAAACAGCATGAAATTTAAAGATAAATAGTACCTGATCATTATATATGGTTCTTCAAGCCCAACAATAAGATTTTCAGGGCTAAAAGATGGCGAGATCTTTTGTTCACCACTCTTTACTTCCTCCACTTGTTCATAATTTCACTGCTTCTTTACTTTCTCCCCTCTTTGGTTGTTGGTACCATATGAAGTTGTCTGAAGTAGAAACACGACATACTGTTTGTTTTAAATTGTTTTTTTTTATAATTTTAAAGTATTTCAAAAAATTTCATATAATCTACACTAATAATACTATAGATTTAATTAACCTTTACAAAAATTGTTAATAAAGAAATGCGCTACTGATCCTTTTATATAAAAAAAAAATATGAAAGTAAGGGTTAAACGCGAAACGCGTTAATCAAAAAATAAACATCTGAAATTTAACGGTCAGCCTGACCACGTGATACATCCAATCAAAAAAAATCAATTTCAGACATATAGACGTGACTGGCAAATAATCGTTACGTCATACATAATATGATCATATAGGCGAATTACAGTATATTAAATATATTTCATTGATATATGTACTTGATTTACTATATAAAAATTCGTTTAGTAAATACAATAAGAAAATTATATAAATAAGAAAAAAAAAAGACCTCACTAACTTTTCACTATAACAATTACATTCAGCTTATAATGAAAGTAAACTTTTTAAATAGTTTCTGAATGTGATGTCATAGATTCACTACCATGCTTGTAAGTATTAAATGACAATTCAGTCACATAGATGATACGTTGTACATTGTCTAGAGTGTTATACAATTAATAAAAAATAAGTTTTTGGCTGGATAATTTCATTTATTTCACATGATTAAGTGCACGAAGTTATGATACTTGTGAACTCACGGCGGCCCTCCACTGAATTTCTCCGAGTTGTGACAAATAGAATGCGTGATAAATAGGCAAAAAAAGTCTCCGAGATAAGTTTATTTTTATTTTTATTATCGAAGTGAACAGGAATCAGTACAGACTACATGGAAACTAATCGTAAAGTAGTACAAAAACAAACCGATAAACCAACCTGCCATATGATAGGAACACTAAGGTGGAAAATTGCTAGCAAATCCGTCAGGAATTTAAAGTCCGCACAAAATAATGAAACTAATTCTGCAATGAAGTATGAACTAAAAGCACGATTGTTATATCTATTCCCGTATTGGTCTTTCGTTAAAAAATAAACGCCCCTGTAAATACTGTAAGAGATAGAATGGTGCGAAAAAGAAAAAAAACATTGTATTGGCCTAAGGACATTTCGCGCAAAAAATGCTACTATAAGAAGAAAAGAAAAACCACGGCTACAAGTCTACAACTATACTAAACGTTTCAACTTCGCCAAAATTTCCGCCAATACCTCTGTTTACGATCGTTGAACTTCTTTCCCTTTTTGTTGTTAGTTTGAATTTTCGCGGTACTTGAAGCTGTCTCCTCTTTCTTAGATTCTTATTCTTCTTTTGTTTACGTGATACGTCAGTCGGTGGATGATTCACCGGTTTCTTGCTCTTTCTGGTAGACACCAGGACAACTCAGAATCGAGCCAAATTGATGGAGTATATAGCACCCTAAGAAGATTTTCACACTTTTTCGAAATATCCAATCAACTTAGAGTAGCTTAAAGCTTTTCATTCCTGCTGATAACAAGAATTGGTGGGTTTGGAATCCTTCCACAAACTTGCTAGCGTCATCGATTCCGGAACGGTCGATATTATAGCTTGAAAACGCTCTCTTTCCTTCCTTTCCCGGAGCGTCCAATTTGCGGGGCATCAGCGAGCCGGTATCTGTCCAAGTGATGTCGTCCATATATTACTCGTATTTTGGTTGAAGCGAAAGTCTGATAATTCAATTCTGATGCGTACCGATTGGTACTTTCGTTGTTTTTTTTAAACCTAGGAATATTGAGGTGCTCCACTCGGAAAGGTATTGTAAAATTGTCTCCGGGATAAATATAAACGTGGTCAGTGACAGTCAAACAATAAGCGAGCGATCACGTGATTTAGGTGTTTTGTCAACATAGTTTCACAAAACTATATAAAGTCCAAACTATGCAGTACTATAGTTTAAATCAACTTATAAGAAATCTCTCACTAAATAGGTGCGTTTTTATACCCAAATAACATTGAAACTTTCTCTTATTCACATTTCAAATTTCATGGTGTTTCAAATACTTAACTTTTTTATAAAGATCATTGATTTCGCTATCTTCTGTAATATATAAATGTAAAATAGTCACTTAACCGACCGAACCGATAGACGAGTATTTAATCAAAATCAATAATATTATTGTTTTTGAAATACATTAAAAAATAAAAGTGAATGAACTTTTGAATGAAAAATTTTAAAATTAAGACAATCTCAGAAATTTTTTCATCAAATTTGCTATATAAAATATTCTCTATAATTTATTCTCAAAAATCTTAATATACTTTTTTTCTTATGTATACATATTTATTTTATTTATTTTATGTAGCAGATATTTCACTTATAGGAATCTACAGTATATTAATTAGTAATTAAATTAATAAATTCTAATTTTGATTACTTTGAACGTTAGAATACAATTTTATAGTTAAAAATAAAGTTATGCTTTCTATTTTCATTTAATATGACTTTCCATTCATTATCATCTAACTCAGTTTTGATAATTTTGATGATTAGGTTGCTCTTCGACTTCTTTGATTTCATCAATTTTTTTCAACTTGAGGTGATTGTTCTTTAGAAAGTTTGGAAATCCTAATAGACATTAATTATAAATAGTAAGTTTAATAATATTAGCACTCAAATAAAAAAAAAAAAAAGAAAGAAAATTTTTAAACATCATAATTTCATATCTTACATTATATATATTTCTTCTAATTTATCCATGAAAACTTTATCATTATGAGGATTATGTTGAATATTGAGTTTATTTAATAATTCTTGCTTCATTTCTGGAAAATAATCAGTTTTCCATTCGTCATTATTAATCATTTCTTTAATTTTTTCTCGAGTCTTATCAACATTTGCAAAATAATATCTAAAGATAAATTTATGTATTAGCAAAAAAAAAAAAAAAATTTTTTTTTTTTTCAAACGGGCATGATATTTTTTTTTGTAAAACATAATAAAATTAGTAGAAAAACTTACATTAATTCAGGAAACCATTCTTGACAACGTCTCTGATGTGGTAATAAATAAAATAATTCAATTTCGGCCAGAATCTGTAATGATAAGAAAAAAAATATTAAAATATTTTTTTTAACATACAAAAATTAACGCTTTTTTTTAAAAAAAGAAAGATGATATTATACCTCCACTTTTTGCATCAAATATGAGACTCTATTGTTATCCTTTTCAATCGCAAAATTAAGTAACCCAATAAGCAAATTCATAAGGTATACAACAATTAATAATGAGAATAAGACGATTAATATTGCAAGTGGTGGATTGCTCTTGTATGACCAATTACTCAATGAGCTTGAATCACCTTTTTTGATATAAAAAAAAAAAAAAAAAAGTTCGTTAAATTCTTTTGAAAAAAAATGAATATACTAATATATATTAATAAATATACAGTACCTGTTAAGAATAAATACATTGCAAAAAGTGAGGTTCTATAGTCTATAAACATGTTTGTATTTTCATTAGGTGGTTGAACCATAAATGGTTTAGAATCAATAGTTCCATTATCAAATACTTGATTATAAGCAGGGGATATATTCCAAGGATTATTGGGATCATCATTCTTTGCAAGTTCCTCAAATGAATAATCGGATCTTGGTATCAATAGAATAAAAAATGCATGCGCAAAACTCATTACAATAATTAACAAGACTACTAAGAAAGACATAATTTGTCTCCCAACACTAACTATAATTGCAAAATATACACCAAAAGATTCAAATGCTCTAAAAAATAACAAAAATTTTATATCTAAAAATAGGCAGGAAAATGAAAGTAATTGAATTATTTGACCATTTAATTCATTTGATACAAGCCAATGAATAGAAGTGTAAATTGGAAGAAGGTACGCAATCATATCTATATATATTAATATAAATACAATTATTTTTTAAAAATCATTTAAACTAAATACTTTTTTAAAATAATTTTAAGTGATACATACCAAACAAATTCCAAAAATCATGGATCCACTGAGAAGGATTAAAAATAAGTTGACGAATTTCAAAACTCAGATGAACTAATCCAAGTATAATTGAAATAATTAAAAGTGGATTTCGAATATTTTCAGGGAGAGAAATTGATGCAGCAGCAGAAAAGCATATAAAAAAAATCATATACACAATCCAAATTATTGCATAATAATATTTCCCAAAAGTATTCCATTTAAAATTAATTATTAATTCACCACTCCATGTTTTATATATATCTCTATTTTTTACTTCGATAAATGGACTAGTTTTAGGCTTAATTAATTCCCAATACCAATCATAATCTTGTGGATAATTAACAAACTTAATGTAAGGAATAATAAAAGTAATTTCTGGCACTGTTTGACTATTTGAGTTACTTCTTGTATAATATCTAAAAAGACGGAAAATTCTCCGAGTTTTAAAATAAGCGACTGTGAGTATATCTTCATCTTTAGTGCAACAAACAAAATGGCAATATAATAATAAATTACATAAAGCACAATAAAAGGGTAAAAGGGGTAAAATTAAAATTAACACCAAGTATTTAACAAGTTTTAGTAAATAATACCAAAATCTATTTTTACGTAATTCCCTTAAACGGTTAATATAATAAATCCATGGAATGGTCCTATTAAAATTTTCTGGTTGAATATTTCTAAAAAAAGCATGATGATGTAAAGATGCTCTTCTATGTCTTATATGATAATTAGGTGAGTCTATAATCATAACTGTATCTAATGAAAATCTTGTAATATAATCTGGATAACATTTATTCAACAATGGCATTGAAGTTGTGATAATACCTAATAAATTCAAATAATTCCTGGTGTCTCTTAAATCTTGTCTAAAAAGAGTTACACAATTTTTGTAAATATTATCGATCAATTCCGTCTTATGTTCTTTAATAGCAAATGATAATAATTTTGTACCATATTTTAAAAGACTTAACCTATCATTAATTAAGTATGAAATCCATTCATCATTTAACTTAAAGCTCTCATAACTTGGAATAGGTAAAGTAGATTTTGAAAATAATTCATCACGATAATACGGAAAAATCTCCTCCCCCTCCGTACCATTAAGTTGCATACGATAAAAATAATTTAAAATAATAGATTTATTATATTCATCAAAATGATAAATAAAAAGACCCATTGATGTTAATATAACAATATCATCGTTACTAAGTAATGAACTTGAGATTATCCGTTGTAAAAAGAGGGTAAAATAATTATGCTTATCAGTTCTTGTACAAATGAAATTCCATTCCCATTCATTATTAACTTTAACTTTTTTGAAAACTTTCGAAGTAATACTGTCAGGAGTAATACTTAATTCCCATTTAATCGATTCATTAAAAGTTGGAGATATTTCTTCCATGAAGACCGCATGTATTTTATTCATATATCTATTAAACAAATGAATATTTAAGTAATCGTACGATTTCACATTGACCTTATCATCATCATTTAAAGAATAATCATATGAAAAATCTGAAAAATCTAATTTAAACTTCCAAACACATCCATCTAAAAATCCATATGCGTATTCGTCTGTAGTTTGAATTTTATATGGTATGCTTTGGGGTTGATATTCTTTTGGTAATTGATTATTCTTTTTTAAACGGTCTATACATTTTTTCCAGCAATGTTCTATCATGGAATTCCAAATTCCTGGCAAAACTTTGAAACTAACATAATCGAGTGTAGATAATAATAAAGAATGTAAATTCGTATGCTTCAAAAATTTATATACTTCAATATCTAAATAAAACAATAATTTAATATTAATAATTAATGATAGTTATGTTTTTTAACTTTGAAAAAAAGAAAATAATACCATTTAACGCATCTAAAGAAGCCACGGCGGCTTCTAATTCCAATGAATAAATCAATATTGATCTTCCATATCTAATACAAAGGAAGTTTTCGTCATTCTTAATCCTCGAATCTTTAAAAATGTCATACTAATAATTTTGAGAGAAAGAGAAAGATGAATATACTTTCATAAACAAACAATTTTAATATCATGTTTTATTACCATTCCTTTTCCACGATTCGTAAAATTGAAAACTCTAAAACTTCTTTCAGAAAGAGTATTCCATATGTAATGATAATCACCACATTCTAGATGTATACTACCATCTTTTCTTATATCACTGAAAAAAGTTGTAAAAATTCCATTTTCAATATCATCCTCCTTACCATCAGGTATTGAGTAAATTGATTCACATGTCCATTCATTATTTTTATTCTTGGTATAAGTCCACAACATATCGTGTGTTATGAATTGAAAATAGTTATTTTTATAGAAACTAATCTTTCTGTATGCAATAGATGGTAGCTTAATTTCTTGATTATTTTCCATATCGAATAATATGATTGGTTCTAATTAAATATGATTAAAAATAATTAGTCACATGCATTAGATAATGGAATCAAACAATTATTACTTACTTTCTCTATCTAGAGCACTAAAAAAAAGTTTCTTATCATCGGTAACAAATATACGTTTGATTTCTTCCCTTGTTTTAACAGTTTGAACTGTGTAGTCTAAATTAAGTTTTCCCTCTTCAATATCTCCATTCCAACCGACAATTGAATCATCGTTCACACTATAAGTAACAACGTATTTTTCATCTGGTGATAGAACTATCCTATTAATAGGTTTACCGTTATGTGGTTTATGTGATTCATCAATATCGGTTTTACCGATATAAGTTTTATCAATATCAATTTCTATGGAAACTTCACCCATTTGATATTCAAGAACTGGTAGCTGAATATTTTAATACTTTTAATATTTTCTCTTTCAAAAAAATAAATAAAAAAAAAAAAAAAATTTTTTTGAAAGAATCATCTGCTACGGTTAATATGCTATATATATACATATTTAGTGTATATATGCGCGATTCCTTAATAGATTAATTTAGATTAGTGCAAAACAATGTGTAAACTCCAAACAAGGAGAGTTTCTTTGAAGTGACAGGAGACACAATCGCATTTAATAAACTGTTCGTGTGAGAAAATCGTATATGGAAATTAATTGTTTCCATCAAAGTAATTTCAATACAAAAATCAATATAAATAACCAAATTAGTATAAGATTCACACAATGTTCACACTTCACAATGTTAAAATGGGAAAAAGACAATATCCGAACTTTGTGTTACTGTGAAAAGAATTTTTTTTTTTTTTAAGCGGTTAATTAACAATTGTTCACACTTTCTACATTTAATTTTAAAATCTAAAAATTACTAAATATTTTTAAAAAGTTTGTTTTAAATACTTACATAGGTTTAAGTTCCTATTAAGAAACATTATATAGAGTTCTGAACTAGTCGTCGAGTTAGCAAATGCGTAAACTAAGGGGTAAACCGTTGATCCCCTGAAAAAAAAGTTTCACGAAAGGTTGTGTAGAATTATATACATAAAAATAATAAACAAAATATGATTTAGTTATTGATGGTCGTTGTCGGTAAGACGATTTTTTTGATATTTAAACTTTAATTAAATATAAATTAATTTTCTTATAAATATATATATACTGAATATACTGTAGATTTCTCAAAAGAGGTAAAGAAATGTGTTATAATGGATAGTGATTGTATCGGTTAATCACAAAAAAAGAAAAAAGAGGTCAGGGATTAATTTTAAATTTATTGAAAAACTATTAAGTTTTTATTCATAAATTTGTTTATTAATTTAGAATAGTGAGGAAAGTTTGAGCACTTTGATCAATTGAAGAATCAAAGTGATAAAAAAGGTATGTTAAATATAGCTTAGGTATTTAATTATAGATATTAATTATATTAATTATTCAGACATTCAAGATCTATTAAAAATTATCTTTTTGTTTCGTAAATTAATCTCATCCCTTATTTATTTAGATCTCATCAGATTCAATAATTTTATTGTGATTAAAACTATTTGATTAAATTAGTGAGATTGAACTTTTTCGTTTAAACCACGAAGAAAGAAAGAAATTACTTCATAAAAAAGATAGTTTTAATTGCTAAAGTTATTAATTTACGAATAATTACTTTAGCTTATATTTTTTCAGAGTTTCCTCATCATACCCTCGCGTTAAGCTTTTAGAACTTTCTGTTTAATTAATTATTTAATTAGTTAAATAAAATTTTATTTTAAAATTAGCAGAAAAAGCAAATTAAACCATTCGTCATCATGTACAGTACTTTCTTAAACCACCAGCACAATTAACAACGATGCTTGCTTATTCAACAGTTCCTTTTTTTATACCTAATTTATTCGTGTTACGTGTTCTAACATGAAAAAAAATTTTTATTATATCAAGATTTACTCAAACTTTAAAGACTTATCATTTATCAAATGCGGGCAGTCTTAAGCTAATTACGTCGATATCAATATTTTTTTTTTGAGACGGAATTTAAGGATGAATACTTAAATTTCTAGGAGTGAGCCCAAGTTCAGAGAATTGTTGGGTCTTTAATATGAACTTTTGGACTTGGAAGTTAGAAATAGTCCTCTTAAAATAATTATTGAGAGTTTTTTTTTTTTCGGGAACATATTTATTTTTTTTTGTTATTTTACGCACTCATTTTAGACTTCCTGGACTTGAAATAGTTTGAGTGTTCGTTCTTATTTCTTCAAAAATAAAAAATTGGTTCAATTAAATTAATTAATTAGTTGATTGAAATCGAAAAACCCTTTCCAGATTACACGTTAAAATTGGGATAAAACTTGATGCAATAAACTGTTCTTAAAGTAAGTTTCAGGGATAATTTCCTTTTCTTTTTTAGAACCAATTAACCCATTTTTTTTTTAAAAAAACAAAAATCATTTTCCTTCGTTTTAGGAATGGACTTTAAAGGATCAATCAGACTCAGACTTTAAATTGTTAATACCAGAAAGATTAACCTTTTGTTCCATCATTGAAATTAAAATTCATAGTGATATTTTTATTTATTTAAGAAATGGATCCATCTTTATAATTATTTGATTAGAAACAAAATAAAATATATCTTCCTATTTATTGCTTTTGTTGCTCCGATGATGTTGATGATGGTGGATTTATAAATAAGTCATTTATTCCAATAAGTTCAACATCACTATTTTGAATAAAAAAAAAAGTCAACTAAACTTGAAAATGATACTAAATAAATGAGATGTTTATTATATATTTTACTTACAATATCAAATCTGAATTAGGTGGGATCTAATTATACAGAGGACAAGATTAATTTGTAAAATAAAAGTTTCGACGTAAATGTAAATTAAAAAAAAAAAAATTTGCAAATACTTACAACTGCACCAAAGCCAGAACTACCGTACCCGTAATCTGAAGTGACGGCAAGTGTAGCCTTTTGTCCAAGACTGAGTCTAAGAATACCTTCATCCCAACCTAAATTTAATTAATTTAAGTATTTAATTATCTATAATAATGCTCCAAGTTTTATATAGCATACCTCTAATCAGTTGACCAACCCCGACTTTGCAAAAGAGTGGTTTATTTCGGGTAATTGAAGAATCGAAATGATCAATACTCTTAATGAAGTTATCGTGTTTCGGATAATTCGGATTTTTAAGGTATCCAGTATCTTTAAAAGAATAAGCATAAATTAATAATAAACAATAATGGTACCACGATTAATTAAACTTACAGTTGATAGTGACTTCATCACCCTATAATAACAGAAAATGAAAACATTATAAAATATTATTCGAGAAATAAATTTTGACGATAGGCGAATATATAAAACATACCACTTTTGGAAAATTCTATTATTTCAAAAGAAAAAAAATTAAAAATTATGTTAACAGTTCGAACAAAGTCTATAAAGATATCTTACCACATTGTCACCGGGTTGAAAGTTCTGAATATTATTAAAAAAAAAAAAAAAATAGAAAAATAATGAAATTATTAATTTAAATACTACCAATCAAAAGAAAAACTTTATTTTCAGAAAAAAAATATATACGAACAAATTTAGTGGGCCCCTGAATATCATAAAATATCACAAAATAATTAAATAAAAATTATCAATTTCATCAAAGAAAAACTATTTTCAGAAAAAAATATATATACGCACTGTATTTTCTTTTTTGCCCTGTTAAAAAAAAAAAAAAGTATTATCAATTCTGTAAAAGAAAAAACTAAACTTTCAGAAAAAGTATATACGAACGTAATTAGGTTCTCCCTAAATATTTTAAAAAAAAATAAAATTAAATTAAATTATTCCATTACTAATTATTAGTCAAAATTATATCCCCGATAATATACTTACGTATATTGGGTCATTTGGGTCAGTTATGATTTGGACTCCCTAAAAATTTTTTTTTCAATTAATTCAATTCTTTAATATAATACAAGAGAAAAAAAAAATTACCATTGTTACAAATCGTGATAAAAAATGAGTGAGAATGACGATTATATTATAATATATATATGCACGAAAGATCTACAATAAGTTCCACGTGACTAAGATGGGATGTGAGATTATATTTATCTCAGCGACGTTTTATTTGAGTGTCTGATGCCTATTCGTCACGTCCTGTGAGTGTATGCGAATGCGGTATAGAATAGAGTAATTTAGTGTAACAAAAATTTCATACTTAATTTAAAATTAGCATTAGAAAGTCTTTTATGTAAAATCAATAATGTAAATCGCTTATAAATCATTTTTTATTTTTGTGTAATAAAATTTTCGAAAGAGCGTGACCTCTCTAGCAAAAGATAGCTGTGGACTTCTTCCTAAATGTGATTGGTTCATAATGTGATACGGCAGATTTAATCAGCACTGAAATCCATTGGACAAGAGTCACAAGACGCGTGACTTTTCACAGTATATGCGCATAACATTTTTCTTTTCATAGATTTTTCAGATTTTTCGCAGTACGCGCACATAACATTTTATCGTGTAGCATTTAAAATTAATTTTTTTACTATAGAATTTCACTTGGATGAACATTTTTTATCTTAGAATTTTTATGACAGAAAAGTGAACTATTAAATCAAATATTTTGACAACTGAGTAAAGAATTCACAGATTTTCATTGAAATTTTGTAAATCTGAGTATTCAAAAACTTTATTTGTTCAACACTTCATTTTAACAAAAGCCAGTTAATTTAATCAAAGTACTAAAATTATACCATGAATATTTATTAGTAAAATCACAAACTTTAGATAAATAAATACATAATAATTTAGTTCAAAACTCAAAGAAACCACCTCATTCTGATAAAAGTTTTTTATATACACTATTATGAAAAATTGAAAATAATGTTAATAAAAAATAATTTGTAAAAAGAGAATATAAAAGACCAAAATGAAGGGAGAAGTGCGATTTACTGACGGGTCATACTGTATGGCTGTACCACAACCCCACAAAAGGGAAAATGTATATCACATCAAATTGGTTAATATTAAATCACGTGATTAATCATGGAATTTCGAAATTGGGAAAATTTTTTTAAATCACTTCTTTTTAAATGAGTAAAAGGTTAATTTATTCTTAATTAAAATCTGTTCATTAGACTAAAAGTTATTTAAGTTTTTGTTAGATTTGATTATAGAGGTAACGTACTGTAATTGAATTGTTAGTCAAATTTTTGCTCGAAAATTTGACTCGGAAGAAACTCCTGAAAAATGTGTAACAACTAATTAAAAAAATGTTGGTTCTAAGAACCATTTGTAAAATCTAGGCGATTAATTTTATTGTAAATCCATGTTTAAAAAATTTCCATCAAACGATCAAACGAAGGAGAATGGTGCTTTATTTGATATATGCATTAGTTCAAATATATTTAATCAACAACATGAAACAGTAGACGAAAATATAAATAATCGATTGGCATATATTTGCAGCACCATGCATTTGAGATCAGGTGAAAATTCTTTTTACAGATTAATAAATAGCGTAAATCATTAAATCATCCATAACTGAGCAAATATCAAAAATTTTGCCATGATGTTGCGTGGGACAAATATATAACTATATATAACTGAAAAAAGAGTAAAAATAATAATTGTATGAATATTAAACGGAAATTCCACTAATAATTCCCATTTTGTAATTTGTAAAAATTCCGTACCAATAAATAAATTCTTGATTAACGTTCAAACTGTTAGTAATACAAATATTGTAAATACTTTCCCTTTCCTTGTTTAGTTTGTAATTTACTTTGTTTGGAAATAAATGAGGTTACATAATCTTAATGATATAACTATCAGGTTTTTACCCGAACAAAAAATTACCTTCATTCATTTTGCAACTAACACAACATACAAACCCTACTCTATTACACTCACTCCTTTTGATAAAAAAAAAAAATAGTTGCATTCTTTACCCGTTGACGGGTTGTTTATTCCTATATCTTATATAGATTTTTCATATTCAAAGATAAAATTTTTAATACTATGGCAAGCCCCATGGAAATTGCCATCACTCACTACGAGGCTTTAAAAAAATATCTTTTTAGACATCTTGCCCGGGGTATGTTATCCCTTGAAATATAGATTTACTGAATTTCTTTGATTTGAATTTTTTGTAACACTTAGATTGCAACCATACTTCGCGATCTTTAAATACAAAATGTTTTTACCTTAGTCTAACGTTAGATTTACTTTTTTCACTTGTGACTTCTAATTGAAATCATTTATACTTTTTATAATTTATTATATAGAGCAAGCAAATGGCTCAAGAACGAATGCCAGAGAAAAGTTAACAAGACTTACGAAAGTACAATTTCAAGAACTTTCCACAGATGTCTATGACGAATTAACTAGAAGATTAATGGATACGAATGAAGGTACTAAAAAATATTTAATTTTTAATATTTTATTTAAAAATTAATTAATTAAATTCTTTGATCTTTCATATTTTGAAATCCAATTTTATAGTTCCATTTCTTCCCGTACGTGATGAATTCCATCCAAAGAGAAATCAAGCACGACAAAAATTAGCTACATTACCTCAGAATCGATTTAAAGATTTAGCAAGTGATGTTTATTATGAATTAGAACGTAGATATCCTGAACTCAAAGATATGGAGGTAAATTGATGTTTTCATTTTTATTCTTAGCAAAATTTTTTTTTTTTTTTTTACCTATGTATTTATTTGTATTTTAACGCAATTATATGCTAGTTCTCATCAACACCAGCATCATCAAGATCGAATAATTCATCGCCTCAACCACAAAATCCTCAACAAAATCCTCAACAAAACAAAATACCATCTGACGGAGTCAAATCTCAAACGTCAAGAGCTAATAACATCGTACCAGAAATTAGTACTTTAGTACAAGAAACTATTTCTGTAGATTATCATGTTCAAAAACAACCGGAAATGCAAAAAATCAATAATAATGATTCCGAAGTCACAAGCCCACAATCTTATACTTCTTCATCTCCAACAAATAATAACAATACTAATAATTATCCTCCCGTACCTGAGGGTATGCCACCAGAGTATGGTTCTCCACGATCTCCGCGTAGTCGTACCCAATCTTCTGCTTCATCCGTGTCTGATTTTGGACGCCGCTATGCAAATGGAATGAGCGTTAGTAGTATGAGCAGCATGTCAAGTAAAAATACACAAAATAGAGATACTGTCAACAGTCAAAAAAGTAATAAACCCCCTGATGCTGCTGTCAATTTTGCTTCTCTTGACAGTTTGATGGCTGATTTGGGTGATATGATTGATAAAAAGGCAAGCGGAAGTGCAAGCTCCTCTCCAAAACAAACTCAAGTACAGACTTTTGTAAGTTTAATTATTATTTTTTTTTTTTGCTGATTTTGGGATTTTTGAATTTTGCTAAATCTTATATGAAAAATTTTTTATTGTTTTGGAAATAGCCTTATGCTGAAGTTGAAAAAGTTAAATCAGATTACGAGTTACGTGTGGCTAATCTTCAAAAACGAATAAAAGAATTGGAAAATGAACTTTCGGTAGATATAAATTTATAATTTCAGTTTAAACTTTCCTTTTTTTTAAAAAAAAGTAAATAAATAAATATGATTTTTTTTTTCAAAGACAAAAGAAGCTGGCACTGATGATGATAGTGCTAGAGTAAAAGAACTTGAAAAGCAACTTGAAGAACAAAAGCAAATTAACAAGAAGCAAACAACAAAGATGACTGAATTAGAACGTGAATTTGATAAATTAACCGAAGACCATCATCAACAGCAAGAGGTTTGAATTAAGAACTTTCTTTTAGTTCGATATGGTTAATTTTATTAATTCTATATCGTCCACTTTTAGGTCGCTAATGACGTTCAAAAGGAGGCAACTGGTTTATTAGAAGAAATTAAAGAAATTTCGAAGCGAAATGAAGAATTGTGTGCTGAAAAGGAAGAAGATGCTGCAAAAATCAAGTCTTTGACGGGAGAAATAAATGATTGGAAAAATAAATATGAAAAGATAAGGACTGAATTAAGGAATTTGAAAGGTATAATAAAAATTTTTTTTGATAAATTAATTTTAAGATATTTTTTTATCCAACACTAAATATATATGTTTATTATATTGTAGCAACTTCATCTTTCTACAAAGAAGCGCCTAAAGTTGATATTGTGAAGGATAATTCATTAGCCCCAACACCTGATGGTGGGATCGAGGAATCTAGAATTGTTTCTTATCAAGTTGCAATAGATGACTTGTTAAGATCTGGAAGGTGTGACACACATTCTTACTGTTGATTTCAATTATTATATCACTTAAGTAATTTTTCTTTTTAGATCCGATGATCCAACAAATGTTCTTATGGCTATGAAGTCAATTGTTATTGCTTGTAAGAGTATAACTGAAGAGGTTGATAATTACGAGCAACGCAAAAGTGCATACATGAATGCAGAAGATAAATCTAATCTTGATGCTTGTAAAGCGAGGCTTTCGGTGACACTTAAGAATCTTATGACATCCGCCAAAAATCATGCAACTGGATATGGTATATCACCAGTTAGTTTATTGGATGCCTCAGCGGGTCATCTGACTGCAACTATTGTCGATTTGGTGAAAGCGGTTAAACTTAGACGTGAGCGTGGTCAGAACAATAATCTTAACCCAGATTCTTATCCTTTTAAAATTCCGTCAGAACCTTTGCCTACAAATAATTTTAGTTCCGAAATAGCACCTCTTAGAACCAAAAATAGTCAGAATGAAATGAATTCTGGCTCAGATAATCAAGTGAATGGAGTTAAAGCAGTAGATATTGACGAGTTAAAGGTAAATTTATTAATTACAATGGAGTATTATATTTTAAATTTATCAAATATTCGTTTCTAATTTTTATGTCGTTATTTAAAGGATTTCTTGGAACGTCAAACAGAAGCCATCGTACATGCAATTCATACTCTCTTACAGGCTATCCGCGGTGGTGCAACATATAGTACAAGTAACGATTTAACTGACAATATCAACACAATTACATCAATAGTGCTGACGGTTATTAAAGTTTGTCAAGATTCATTTAAATCGTCAGCTGGAGCAATATATCGAACAAGGGGTGATATTATACTGAAAGAATTGGAAAATAATGTTGATAAATTAGAAGAAATGAATGATTTAATAGCCAAAGATAGTACGGACTTTATGTCAAATAAGACTTCAAAACAGCGATTGGCAGGTGCTTCATTTGAAATAGCTAAATTTACAAAGGAACTTGTTGGTTTAGTTAAAAAAGATGATTAACGATTAAAAAAAAAATTTTAATAATAATTCTTAAGGTAAAACTTACCTATAATTGTGTTATTGAGAGTGGTAATTGATAATATGTTTGTAAGTTTTGTTTATTTATTTATTTATTCATATAGAACATTTTTCATTTAAATACTTTTCGGACATTATAAAAGTGAGTTTTAACTGTGTACACATTATACTTCTATATATACACAAAAAAGATCACTTAATTAGCATTATCAAAATTATATTTGTATACTTTTGGACAAAAAACTTAAGAATTTACATTCATTTTTTATTATTAACCTTAGAACTTTTTTTTTCAAATTTTTTTTTTGAGTTAAATTTTATTAGTGTATATTATTAAACATACAAAAAAAAATTTATTTATATAATAAAAAGCTTTGTACTTTTTTATATTAAATTTGTGTGTAAAAATTTTCAATAAACAAACTAAATATTTAATTAAGAACACTTTAAAATGTACATATAGTAATAAAATTGTGTTAATAATAAGAGTTTTATTGTCATAATTTTATCCAAAAAAAATTTTTTTTTTTTTTTTTAGCAATAATATTTATAATATTAATAATAGTGTATATTTTTTCATATTGATCTAATATGTGTAAAATCCTGCACCACTTTTTCTACCAAGTTTGCCTTCTTTGACTAAATCATCCAACTTTTTAATGGGAGCGACAAGGCCAGCATCAATTTTTCCATCTTTACGCCATCCATCCACAATAGATTTAAGAGTATCTAATCCTACAAACTAAGATATTTAAAGTAAGACAAAAAAAAAGAAATAAATAATTTGTTTTAATTATTAATTCGAACAAAGTTTTCTTAAAAGCTTAATAATATTAAACTTACATCAGATAATTCAAAAGGACCCATTGGCATTCCAGCACCTAATTTCATGGCAGTATCAATATCTTCAGTAGTAGCCTCACCACGTTCAGCAAGACGGACAGCTTCCATTAAATAGGGTACAAGCAATCGATTTACAAAAAAAAAAAAAAAAAAGTGATAATTTAATTTATTTTTATAAAATCTTTTTTTTTGTTATTAACATACATACCCAGGAGTATCTTTACAAGTTACTGGAGTTTTTTTCATTCTCTTTGTAACATCAACTAATTTTTGATAAGTATCTTCACTAGTTTGATCATTTTTAATAATTTCAACCAATTTCATTTGAGGTACAGGATTAAAAAAATGTAAACCAGCAAATTTATCTTGCCTTTCAGTTATTTTAGAAATTTCTGATATAGGTAAACTACTTGTATTTGAAGCAAAAATTGTATTAGGTTTAGATATTTTATCTAATTTTTTAAATAAATTTTGTTTTGTTTCTAAATTTTCTACTATAGCTTCAATAATTAAATCAGTATTTTCTGCACCTTTTTCACTATTAGTTTCAGTTTTAATATTTGACCAAGTAGTTTCTATAAAAGATTTTTGTGAATTTTCATCATCTTTAAACTGTTTTTTTGCTATTCTAGATAATGATGCATCAATTATCTTTTTTCCTTTTTCAATAAATGCTTGTTCTATATCTACCATAGTTACTTTAAACCCATTTTGTGCTGCTACTTGAACTATCCCAGCTCCCATAAGTCCTGAACCATAAACTGTAATATTTTGTATAGAATTATTATTTGGTGTGGTTGTTGAAAAATTATTATTTAATAATAATGGACGTAATAAAGATGTTTTAAATGAAATTTTCGTTGCATTATTTGTTAAATGACCACGAAAAGATGATAGAATGAATTGTGCCATTTTTTTTTTCTTTTCCTATTTTTTTTTTTTACGAATAAAATACCTTTTTATAAGAGATTCGAATAATCTTTTTTTTTTTTTGAAACTAATTTATGATTAAGTTGGATCGGATCAATCTAAAATTGGTCGATCCGTTATTTATTTACTGCAATTTACTGTTATTTACTGCGGTGTTACGACGCACTTTTGCACCGCTTAATCCACCTTTTTCGATTATGCAAGATGATAAAATGTCAAAGATTAGTTTATTTCAATCCCGGTAAAAGCATAAATCGTGATATTGCAACTCAATTTAAAGAACGATTCATGTGAATAATCACATGAATAAAAATCGAAAAACTCTATATTTGCATGTTTAAAAAATTATTTTTTTTTTTTTTCGATGTGATATTTCTTAGATTNAAAAAAAAAAAAAAAAAAAACAAAAAAAAATATTTAAAAATAAACAATATATGATTGATGTACGAACAAAAATGATGGTTATGAGGAAGGAAGTCGGACTGCAATAAAATACAAGCTAAAAAATATATAAAAAAGTTTGGTTGTGATATAGATGTGTTATGAAAAAATGTTAAAAAGGAACGATGCTCATCTAATAAAGAAAATTTTCAAAATATATAAAATGTTGAAATCACCAAATCCACGTATCATGAAGAATGAGTAATATATATATATATATATAAACACAAATTGAAAGAAATGGGCTATCATATATAAAAAGAGAAAAAGTATATATATACATAGTACATATACATATACGTAAGAACGTAACACATTGATCCCTTCTGATATTTTACTTAATTGGAATCACAACCTTTTTTGTGTTTGACCTTAAATAGAAATCAAACAAGCCGCAGAATGTCCTGCTGACTTTTGTGAAGATTTACATATCTTGCACCGAGCTTGATATGCTTCCGCTCATTACCCGGTCTTCATTATACGTGAAGCCGGCAAATTGTCGTTGTACAGTTTCTGATAGATGTGGTTCATTTACATAAGAATCTTGAGGAGTTTCTGAGGTAAATTCCTCATCAAAATTTGAAGTATCAATAGCAGATTCCTTAATTTTTTTTAAAAAAGTTAATATTAATCTGAATTCATAAGACTCCAAAATGAGAATTTCGTTAATTACATACCACACTAGGTTTAAATGGTGGCTGTACTTTCTTTTGCATCAATCTTCTCCAATCAATTGAAGCAAAGAAAGGATGATCTTTTATTTCTTGTGCACCATTATTTCCAAGGCGTTGAGTGGGTTCCCGAGTTAATAACTATTTATATTAAAATATTATGATTTTAATGAAAATTATCATTATATCAATAATTGATCAATTAAAAGAACACAAACCCCCGATAATAAACTTCTTGCATCGTTCCCAACTTCTTCTGGAAATCTCAACTCGTCCTGTAAAATTTTTCTATACATTTCATTTGTATTTTCATCGTAAAACGGTGGCAAACCCGTCAACATTTCGAACAATAAAACTCCTAGAGTCCACCAATCTACTGTTTTTGTATAACCATGACCTAACAATAATTCGGGAGCAAGATATTCCGGCGTCCCGCAAAAAGTATGGGTTGTTTCTGATTCAGTCATATTTAATTTACAGAGACCGAAATCGCATAAAGCGATATGTCCTGAATAGTCTAGCAGAATATTTTCGGGTTTTAAATCCCTTTGAATATTGAAATATATTAAATGCGAAAAAAAAAGTGTAAAAAGAAATTATCAATACGATTTTGATTTAAAGTTCAGGTAAACTCATTTTCAAAGAATTTTCATTATTTTTTTACTAACCGGTAAACCACGTTGAAATCATGTAAACATTCCAATGCGCAAAGTAATTCAGCGGCATAAAACCTTGATCTCTCTTCATCAAATCGTCCTTCCCTTTGCAAATGGTGAAACAATTCACCACCATTAACAAAAGCAAGCACCAAATACAATTTCTCTGGACTTTGGAAAGAGAATTTTAGCGGTACAATGAAAGGATTATTGATTTGTGCTAAAACTGTACGCTCCGCTAATGTATGATTAACCTCTGATCGGGAAACGATATGAGCTTTACGAATGGTTTTTAGCGCATAAATTCGAGAAGTATCCTTTTTTCGTACTTGCATGACCTAATATATCGATATACACATATTAATACATTAAATAAATCCTTTTTCTTTAAATAACTGAAAACGTAAAAATAACTGCGGATTTCAATATCACTTTCTATTATCAAAATGTGATAGGTACCTTGCCAAAACTGCCCTTGCCAATGACTTTTAATAAATCAAATGCATCGATTGTTAAGGGGATATTTGCCTAATAAATAGCATTGATGGTTTCGAAATGTCAAAATTTGAAAAAAAATGAAATGAACTACCAAATGAAAATAAAAAATGCTTATATACATGATCCTTCTTGTAACAAATGTGAACATGTACACTACCCGTTCCACCTGCTAGATTGAACCAATTTTCATGCAATTTCTAAATATAAAAAAAGAAACAACGAGAAAATCAGAGACTATAATAAAATTGGCATTAAGTCACTATTAAATTTTAATTCTACTTACGTTTGGATCATTAAAACTAGGTGCAATTTTTACGCCACCAAGGAAAACGTCATTTCCCATATCATTAGTATGTTGGCCAGTTTGAGTAGATTTACGTAAATAAATTTGTATCGATACATCAGACTCTCTTGAGACATCGCTATAAAATATACAACAAAAAAAATCAGATCAAAGAATTAAAACTAGAAACTAGATCAAAATCAAAATTATTGATGATAATATAACTAACTTTCCATACTCACAAATGCGCTCGATACTGCCAAGTGGGGTTTTGAACTTCACCGCCCAAAGCATCGATCAAAACTTCGTTTTTGTCAAACTCTAAAACCACATAAGGAAGCCACCAACATTGTTTCCTTTGCATGCTGTCTCTATTACCCCTTGTATTCGTTGGGACTGATGAAAAATGCGGTGGAATTTGTGGAGGTCTTATGCCAGGAGGTAAAGTGATTCCACGAGCTTCAACTACACGGATGAGCAAAAGTCCAGAAGCTGGTATAGGTGTAGGGGAAGTAGGCGTTGAAGGAACACCATCAGTTACCACAGAAGGATTTTGAGGTCTTTGATTCCAAAGACGCATTATGGACAAATATCGTTTTTATTTAGTTTAATTTAGTTTTAAGAAACCGTATAAAGAAAGAGAGAAATTTTTTTTTTTTATTTTTGTGATAAAAGTAGAAATGATTTTTAAAAATGAAGTTTTTTTTTTTCTGACTAATAAACGTAAAATAACAAAAAAAAATAACGGAGAAAATTATTCGTGGAAGTCAAAATAGATATTCTTTTAATATCTTACTTTAAAACCCAAACCAGTTACTTTGATGGACAATATTATACTTTTACTAAATATTAAATTGTTATAATATGTATTCTTTGTCATGATATAATTGGTTCAATGTAAACCATTTTTAATTACAATCAATAAAATCAATAAGATAAAATTTTATAAATAGTTTTTATATTTTATAATAATAGGTTCGGAGAATTGAAATTCTATATTTATCAAAATTAGCTTAATTGCAAAATTGATGTTTTATTATGTAAATAGTAACGTTTTACAATCAGATATGTAAATAATAAATGAAAATCTTAAATTTACCTATCGGATTTAGATTTTAAACATCATTTTTTTTTTAAAAAAAAAAAATCTATGCTTAATAATCATTAATGTAATTTTACGCTAGATTTGACGCATTTTTTATTTTATCCTTCTGTACTTTTTGCTTCGTACATATATTATGCCAATTATTCAATCCAATAAATTGTTTGCATGTGGATCTAATGGCAATGGACAACTTGGAATAGGATCGTTTGAAGATACTAATATTCCCACTGCTTGTAAATTCTTTATAACTAAACAAACAGAACAGCAACTTGAGTCGCAAGAATTTCAGCTATCACAAAAAACTTTTAACTCGGTTTTAGAAAATTTAGATACTAAACCAAAAGTTATATCTGGCGGAGGAAATCATTCTGCTATCATAACATCATTTGGAGAATTATGGATGAGCGGACTAAATGATGATGGACAGAGTGGTATCGCATCTGATTCTCTAAAAGAGTCCAAGTTTAATAAAGTAGAAATTCTTGATGAACATGAGGTAAGACGATGGGAATATGTAACTTGTGGTTGGAATTTTAGTTTAGCTGTGGAAGAAGAAAATGGATACATTTATTCATTCGGCAAAGGAGTTTATGGAGAGTTGGGATGTGGTGAGAATGTGAAAAAGACGGGTGGGAGAGGAGTGAGAATAAAAGGTGTTGAGGGAGTGGAGAAAGTTGTCTGTGGTTTAAGGCATGTTGTATGCTTGAATAAGGAGGGGAAGTGTTTCGGTTGGGGGAGTAACAAATATGGACAATTAACAAAATTTGATAAAGACAATAATGAAAAATCGCATAAAAAGAAGAAAGAAACATTATATTTTGAACCTGTTAGAATATTTCATGACTTGAATCTTAGAGTGATAGATGTGGCCTGTGGACAAAATCATACCGTGGTACTGACAAGTGATGGAGAACTTTATACATTTGGATTGAATAAATATGGGCAATTGGGATATGATTTTCCAAATAAAATAAAATTTTCAGATATACCTAAAAAAATTGATCATGAATCAATTGGAAAAGTTAAGAGTATACATTGCGGATGGAATAATACTATAATAATATGTGATGATGATAAATTATTAATATGGGGCAGAAATGATCATGGACAGTGTGGAAAGAATAATCCTGAGAATGAGAATGATGTGGATGGGTGGATGGATAAGCCTGTTCCTTTATATTATTTGCCACAGAATTTGATATTAAGTGAAGGATTTGAAATTGAGGAATGTGCATGTGGATCAGAACACACTTTAATCATTTCTAAACAAGGGGAATGTTTAAGTTGGGGATGGAATGAACATGGAAATTGTGGAATTGGAGATAACGAAAACAGATGGCAACCCGTAAAAGTAAGGAAAGCAGGGAATATTAAGAAGGTTGGGGGAGGATGCGGAAATTCTTGGATTTGGGTGCAAGACGGATAATAAGAGCTGCGGCAAAAAAAATATAATTTAGATGACAGATTAATTATTATAATTATAATTTAACTAGTTATAATTTAAATTTAAATGTTCATATTTAGTGATCTTATTGATCTTATCCGATTAGGTTTACTATTAATAATTTCATAAATAGAGTTTTTAGCCGCAACCAAAATAATCCAAATTAATTTTGTTTCTCATCGGAAACGATGGAAGATGACGTAATACAAAATTACAATTAATATATGTGGGAATAAAATACGTTGTCCAATTAAATAGTATATTATTAAAAAAAAGCCATATTCCAAAGAAGGGATATCTGATTTTCTCTATGATCTATTTTTTTCGGTGATACGCAACGTAATCTACGTAATCTATCCATCTCTAATCTAGATGGTCTCGAATGTGATCACAAATTTAAAAAAGACATGCATTGTGCTATTTTTTCACGTGAGACTACAAATAATTATATAAATTGCCTATCTGTTGAAACTATCAATAACTACAATTAATATCCAAATATCTAAAATAACAAAACCATAACAAGCAATTCCAAATAAAAGAATACTTTCCCTTATTTTCTATTTTAATATTTATTTTAGTGTTCAATTCTAAAGAACCCTATTTCATAAAAATGGGATGTTGTGGAAGTAAAGATGACGATAGTAAGGTTTGATTCGTTTTTTTCAGGTTCTTTCATTTTTTTTTTTTTGGTAATGACTAACTCTTTGGTAATAGACAAACGAAAGTACTCGTCTAATACCTCGTGACGGCTCCTCGGCATATGAAACGTCGGTTGAGAATAATTTTTAATATTCTACATATCGATTGTTTTTTAATATTTACAAAAATTAATTTTATTTTTAATGTAAATATTTATATTAGACCGAGGATGTCTTACCCACGTTATGATGCCACTGCCGAGCAGGATGCACTGCAAAAGATTGTTCAGCGAACATCAGAGTTAGTTTTAATTAATTCTATATCTTAAATTGTACCAATCATTTAAATAAATTGTGGTTAAATAATTTATTTTTATATTTTAGGAACTTTATTGATATATCAAATACATATGCTACTGAGCGTTTACAACAACAAGATGCAATAGATCGTGCAAATGAATACAAGTATTATTTAATTTTTTTTATTTTTTTTCAAAGGTTTCGAGCTTGAAATTAACTATCAATTTTTCTTTTAGAGACTTGTTAGGTTCAATCAAGCTTGATTCAAAGACTCTTCAAAAGATACAAGAGAAGAGTAGCACATTACCAAAGATGCATCAACGTAAAAAATCTCGAACATCACTGCAATCTCAACAGGCTGCTTCACCCGATAAACGGGGAGTTGCAATGGATTTACCTCCACATGTAGTATTGGGTGGTGGGTGTGTTACAGAAGAGGATCAGAAATGGGTATGTACTTTGCAGTTGTTATTTTTCTATTTTAATGAAAAAATTTTACTTATTAACTTGTTCCTTCTTTGATTGCTTACAAAGCTAACGAAAGTTATGGAAGAAATACAAGAAGCTATTGAACACATTGAAGTTGAATATATTGGTGATTTAGTAGTTCCCTTGACGTGGGCTAATTCTGCACCAATTCATGCTGTTCATGGTTGAAATCTTTTAAATTAATAATTTATAAACATTTTATTTTATATGGGAGTGGTGGATTCTCCTTCCTCCCCTTTAATTATTTTATTAATTATGATCTTTATGATCTTTATGATTGATTTTACATTTTTTTTTTTTTGTATTTCATTGTTATTCTTAATTAACTTTTTGAAAGCAAAGAAAATATTTAAGGAAAAACTTTATTTGTATATTATATTAATATCATTAGGGAAGAAATATTTATGGAACGATATATTGCAATATATGTTAGAGTTTTCTTGGGGTATTTGATGTGTTTGGTATATAATTTATTTTATAATCATGTAAATATTGATGACATATGATTTTATTAAGTATCATCAAGAATTTATAAATAAACTATCGTATAATATCACTTTTTTTTTATTTGATTACATATTCAAATTATCAAATTATAACTAATTGTGGACATGGAAAAATTGGATATTTGGTCCAATATTTCACATCCTCCTCGATGTGTATGATCATACGAGAATGAATAAATTGATCTTTTAGGATCAATTGTTAAAGTTTCAAGCTCTAATGATATTTGTTACATCATTGTTAAAAATTTTGACTTCGTGCGATCTATAAAAAAGGGAATTATATATTATTACTCTACGAATTATTCCAACGAGTTTATAAATATTATTTTCATCAATCACAACTTGTTTATATTGTATCTTTTGATCATGTTTTGCAATTAGAATCAGAATTATTATATATTGTAGAATAATAAATTAAATCAAAATCAAATTAAACTTTACATTTTTACAATTACGAAATTAGAAATTTTTATTCTTAACTTTTAAATTTACTATTTGATCTAAAATAAAAAAAAGATAAAAAAATAAAAATAAAAATTATAATATATTAATTAAAGCATTAATAAACCATTTAAATAAATTAAAAATTTCGAATTAGAAATATCATTTTAATAGAAAGAATATTGACTTTTCTAATTTTGCTTCTGTTTTTCTTTTTGTAAATGGATAATTTTGTCCCAAAACCTTCTTAATTTCTTCTGATGTCGGTCGACTTAACGATATCATTTAATTATAAGCGCAATGAGTACCACCGACTCTTCCATCTCTGCTCGCTCTTCTGCTTCTCCCATTTCGTGGATAACGAGAGATAATATTATAGCTCTCGTCATCGTAATTTCGTGTTCGTTCAATTGCGCAGATTGACCTAATTCCTGAAAAATTCTCTATTTCTAAATTTCTATCGTAGCTTACATCATGATATGTAAATAATCCAGAGATCACTTCATATACAATTATAAATATAAGTAGCTTTAGTCCTCATAAAATTTAGGAAAAATATAGCATATATTTTCTGATAGCATCATTATTTGGCTAACATTAATAGATTAATGAACAAGTCCAATTGTAATAATTGTAATGTTATACTCCCCAACTTAATTCACATATAACTAATTTCGTACCATAAACTTCCATTCGTTACAAAATCAAGATCAAATCATATAATTTTCTGCATCTGAATCTTGAATTGTTCTATAAAATTCAATAACGCAAACACAATAAACACCTTGAACTCTTGAAGGTTGATTTATGATATGAAGTAATCTGTACATTTCCCATAAATAAAATAAAATGTTAGTAAAAAAAAAAAAAATTAAAAAATTTCATCAAATAATAAATTTATTATACCTCAATCATATAACATTTTTTAATTATCTAAACTTTCAGAGCAACAGGTTTCTTGGAATATGTATTTTTTAATTTTCATAATATTCACAATTTTTTTCATGATTTTCATGATTTTCTTGATTTCTTGTATTTTTTTTTAACATAACTTTTTCATAATTCTTTTTCTATAATTTCATAATTTTTCATCCTTTTCACTTTGGTAGAATAATAATAGCTCACTCCTTCGGGATCAAAATTTAAGGCCCTGATGGAACAAACTCCCAAAATTCCTGATTTTATTATTCCAATGAATCATTCAAGTTTCCAATTAATATTATTATATTCTCAAAAATATTTCAAATAGAAATCCTTCAATCTTACATGCGAATCCTCAAGGAAATATAGAAAACAAGCCTGGTTGAAGGCTGGTAATAATTCCAAAGCCCAACAGCTAATTTTCTGTATCCTTCCAAACACGGGCCGTTACGCAGAAATTAAACGTGTTGGCGACACAGTTATTGGTGTTGCAACAACAATGTATCCAAGATAAGCATACTCAAAAGCCAAAAAAGCAACTCTGTGGGAACGTTTGTCTAAAGATTAACGTCAATGAACTCATTCCTTGATCACATACTGATTCCATTTATATCGGATAAACCCACTATTTTGGTAGGTGCGGGTGTGTATCATCCTGCACCTGGACCTGGTAATTTTATTTTTTCGTCAAATGAATTATTTTTGATGTATTTTTTTCTCGCATCTCTTTAGACAATAGCAACGAATATCGTTTTGTTCTAATAATTTATATACTTTCCAAACTCTGACTTTAACAATATCATGAAATGTTATCTATTTTAATACTTAAAAGAATCTTTTGCTGATAACTGAATAAATTTAGTCCAATTGTTGAAAATATTGAAGTTTGCATCTACAAAAAAAAATGATTTTAACAAGTACGTGTAACTAAAATTTACTGCGACAAAAAATTTGTCACATGATTTTCGTTTGGTAATTATATCACATGATCTATGAAGCACGAAATTTGATTTTAGACAATATTTTTGACCTTGCAAATTTAAGTTTCTCTCAAATGACTTTTAAGGTTTGTGATTAAAAGAATTATATTTACAGGGTTAATCATAAGATTTTTTGCTTCTTAATGATTACATAAAACTTTGTACCATTAATTTTATTATTTTGAAATCATTCATGATAATACTAGGCCATAATAAATATTCCGTAAACACCAATAATATCATTATATTGAAAATAAAAAATATGCCTTTAAATAAACGTTATCTCTTAGGTAAAGTAAAATAACAAAATAATACTATAAAATTTCATCTCTTTAAGTAAAAAATTATCCCTTTTCCTATCTAAAAAAAAAATGAAATAAAATAGAATATAATAAATATAATAATTTTTTTAAGAATGAATAAATAACATATTAATGATAAATTAAAAATTTACCGACCATTATTCGTTAATTTTCAATTGAGAAATATCAACTTGTAAATACTCTATTTAATTAAATAAATTTCATTAAGATTTTTATAATTAAAATTATTAAAAATTATTAATTAATACCTAAAGATTCCTTGCTTATAATATTATCATTTTGTTCGTAATAATCTTTAAGAGTTTTTTGGTTCAGGAAGATTATCAAAATTAAGTAATCTACCTATAAATAACTTCTGAATGTATTTCATATGATAATGCTAAATTAGTTGAAGGTATACTTTTAGTTGATAATTTATAATTGAGTAGTTCTTCTTTATTAACTAATTCTGTTCGATTATCATCATTGGATTCATAATATTCACTATACCATCGGATTATAATTTTACTAATTTCACTTACTGTTGGTCGGTTTAATTCGCATCCAAGCATCTTTTAAATATAAAATTAGAAAGGGAACTTTGATATTAAACCTTGGTCTGAAGCCTTGACAAATTTTTATTGCTAAGTTTTCATCATGTTTTATATCATAATATGGAGGTAATCCAGAAATTACTTCATACATAATTATACCAAAACTATAAATATCCGCAGCTTGAGTATAACCTTGTCCTCGTAAAATTTCGGGAGCCACATAAGGCAAAACACCATAATTTTTTGTATCTTCTGGTGTAATGTAATCTGCAGGTTTGCATAATCCCATATCAGATATAAAAACATTATTCATACGAGTTAATATATTGCCAATATGTAAATCTCGATGAATTAATTTATTTTTATGAATATATCCAAGTCCTAATGCAATAAAACGTAAACATTCAACCCTATCTCTCCAACTTAATTTATTATAATTAGTGTCCAAGTAATTTCGTAAACTTCCATTATCCGCATAATCCAGAACCATCATATAATTTTTTGTTTCTGGATCCTGCGTTATTCCGTAAAATCTAATAATATTAGTTAATATATCATCTACTTTGTAATGTAGTGCGATCTAACATGAGATTATATGTACAAATATATACACAGTATATACACAAATATATATGAGAAAATTTAAATAATAAATTAGTCATACCTCATTCATAAATTCTGATGTAACATTTTTTGAATTATTTGGACTTTTCAGAGCAACGAACATATTTTGACCTTGTCTTTCCCAATTTTGATTTTTCCAATACCGTATACATCCATCAATCCAATTTGCCTTATACACTTTACTAAACCCTCCTTTTGAGATATATTTAATATTATAAAATCTATCATAAGGTATCCATTCTTTATAACCAATGTTTGCTTATAACTGAGTATCTTGAATGAATTTATCAATATCATTATTACCACTAGTCCAGATTTTTGAAATTTGTTGAAAACGTTTTGCATTGCATGTGTTACCCCAATTAAATACAGTATTTTGACGATTACATTCATCATACGCTAAAATCTTTATTTTATGAATAAGTTAAAATGAATTTGTTGTATACAAAGCAGCTTTCTATTATTATGCATTCGGAATCAAATCGTTGTAACAAATATCGTGTAATAATTTTGATCAAAAAAAATGAACCTTTATGTGTAATTTCATTAACGTTTAATTATGTATTATTTATTCCCATTATTCATCAATTAAAATTAATGAAAAAGGTAAAGTTTAATAAATTTGATTTTACTTGTAATGTTTGTAATGTTTGTTCTAATTTTTTTACATCTGTTGTAGCGACGAACCGTATCCGACTCGGGACAACCACTAACCAGTCTTAGAAAAGTTGATTAAAGCATTAAAAGATTTAAATCTGATTTGGAACATGGGTCAAATTTGGGCTACAACTGAATTGGTGGTATAATAGGTATTTAATAAGGGAAACATAAAACCAAAAAAACCGATCACGTGATTTATTTAGCACGAACAAAGTTTTTCGTTAATTTGCCAATTTATCATCTCTAAATATCATGAGAATTATATCAAACATTCTTAATAATTGTGAAAAATTCTCGACTCCAAACCACCTATTATGTAATTAGCACAAATTTCTTTGTCGAAGAATACCGCACCAATTTTATTTTCCGCGAGACGCATTTCTATTCTTTTAGAACTCAAAACATTATATTCTCTACTGATATTACGTAATATAGAGCTCAATTAATCCCACATCATATTACAATGATTAAATGAATTCGTTAGCTGTTAGGACAATAAAAATTATGATATTCTACGTCATCAATTACTTATTATCAAGTTCTTTCAATCTAATCATGTTTCGGTTGTTTTAGAGATTCATACAAAAGAAGTTAATCAGATGAAAGTATATTAGCTGATTGATAATCATATTCGTTTTTCCATCCTACTGACTATAGAAAACGTGTAGGTCACTTCCGGAATCCGGTAAGGTGATCTGAAATTCTTTTATTGTATCATCCTTGTTACAACTAATACATGCCAATCAAGATAACAAAAAAATACGACAAATAAACTTTATTTCACCTGGCGTTTTGTAAAATGAATCTTAATAAATCTAGAACTAATGGCTAAACAAAGATAATAAGGAACAAGAGATCGGCACTCATAAAAAGGAAGAATCTACATGCTAGTAAGTCGTTTTCATTAGCGGACTTTTATATACTAGTACTGTCAATTTTTGTTCATAATTTTACATTTTACTTAGAATAATTAAATAAGATTACTTTTTATTTTCTTTTGCCTTTTTTTGATATGGGCTCAACAATATATACATAAAGATTGTTCAAGCAATTATGAAAATGCAATATGCGAATAATAAAACACAACAGCCTTTATGCATAAAATTGTTTGTGAAATTTCTGATTTCAAGATAGTATCTTTAATCCGAACGTATGTCAATAAGTCTAAAAATAAAGTTTAGAGATCTGATAATCTTATTGCAATTAACCAAAATAAGAATATCAGATGCAAAATGTATCCCGCATCCTTTAAAGGTAATATATACTGTATACTAAATATAATTAAAATATATATTAGATGGTAATTTTCTTTTACGAGGTAAATTTTTTTGAAAAAAATTTCCTAATTCCTATAATGAGTGACCTCTCCATAGAAATCAAAGAAATCGATGATAATATTACCGATGAAACTAAAGTCAATATCGATAATGGTAAACCTATTACGAAGATAGAAGTATCTCCTAATGAAGAATACCTTGTTATTTATAATCAAGAAGATAAATCAATTATCGGTTGGAATATATATGAAACAAATAAAACAAATAGGGAAAAGCGTTATACAGTTGATGAGGTCAATAATCTGGACAAAATATGTGTTTCTGATGATAAAAATCTTGTTTATATATGTAATAATAAACCTAGTAAGTAAAAATGAATAATAATTTGTTGAATCACATATTTATTATTTATATCATAAAAATTTAATTATTTTATTAGGAATAATCGATATGAATAATAATACAAAAGAGATTAAACTATATGACGACGAAAGTATTTATGAGAACCATTGTACTTTCAATGTAAAAGGTGAATTTATTATGTGTAACAAAGTGTCGAATCAAAAAATTCTTCGGATTTATTCTACAAAAACTAAAAATAACAAATGGATGTGTAAACAAATTTATGAGATACCCCAAGATTACGAAATAATTAACATATCAAAATACAATAAGCTTTATTTACTTTTAAGAAATTGTATTTATGAATGGGATATAGTCACTAAAAAAAATATAAGAATATTTGCCGACGAGGATGATGAAGAGGTAATAAAATGCGTCAAATTATTCCATTGAAAAATATTTTTCTATATTATAATTAATTTTTATTTAACAAATCAATAGATTGAGAAAAGGGATATCAGAATTTCTAGCAATGAAAGGTTTATTTGTTTAAGTATCAAGTATGAAAAAATGGACGATGAAAATTTTGAGGATGAAAAATTCAATGATAAAAAGGACTTAAAAGATAAAATTATTATTTATTCAATTGAATTGGAAATTCCTATTGCTACTTTGGATATAAATGATGGTATATATTATATTTTAATTTGTTTTAATGCATTATTATCGGTACTTAATTATTTACTTTTTTTATTAGATATTTCTTTATACGATATTATGAAAGATATCGATTTGACGTTGTATCCTTTACTACTTACTTTATTCGATCGTAGTAGTGAAATTTGGAATTCTATCATGAAATATTATTGGAAAGTTTGCTTAGACGGTTCAAATGTGAATCATCATTTATCAAAAGAATATCGACCTGCAATTCTTTCAAATAATATTCAAATTACAACTAAATACGCATTTGGAATTCTAGATGATGATTTTCTTAAGATTAAATTTGAAGAAAAATTATTGTTAGAAAATTGGGATAAATTGTGTCATGAAAATGATGAAACAATTATTGAATGTTGGAATATGTATTTAAATTCTGATGAACGTGATGTCGTTGTTGAAATCAAGGATATGCTCAAATATTTGAAAATTCTTTTATTTAATCCATACAAAAATATATTGTGCGCATTATTTCGAGAAGTCAAGAAAGTTATGGATGATGTATCACCAAGTGAATATCCAAAGAAATATGAAGATGAATTAATTTATAATACAATTAAGTGGAAAATAAAAATTAATGACGTTAAAATTGTATTGCAAGTTTTTAAAAGAAATGATGATATCAGCAAATGGAGTTCAATTTGCAAAAGAATTGAAAAGCATAATTTTGGAAAAGGATGTTTACTTGGAATCAGATTAATTGATAACAACGTTATTGTTATATTAACGAATATTGGCCTTTTTATTTATTATTTTAACGAGTGTAATATTTCTTTAAACTATTTTTATCATATGGATTTGTTATCACAAGATTATGAAAATATATTTTCAAAAATTACTTTACCTTTACCAAGTGTTAATAGTTTTAAATTAAATGGATGGGCTTTAAATTTAGCAAATAATAAGTTGAGCCTTTTGAAATATGGTGTTGAATTATTAAAATTTGCAATCGAAGTAAATAATTTAGAATTAATAGAGCATATCTATAAAAATTGTATGAATTATTTTAAACAGGATTTAAGGAATAACAGAATATTTTTGAGCATTATTACATCTAATATGCCATTGCTGAAAAGGCATTTTCCAAGATATATTGAAAGATATTCATTAGAAACAGATCTGATTATAGATGATACTTCTTACAGTATAAGTAGTATAAGTCTTAATAATGCAAATCCTCCTCATATTTTTAATCTAACTGGATCTATTTTATGGACAAATTATGGTTATCTATTGCGTAAATTGTATAAAAAACTCCATAAATATTGCAGAAATTCTTCAGAAGACATATCAGATATACAAAAAATTACCTTTATGGTTCCTTTTATTAAGTTCTTTAATTATCCACAAGATTATAAATGGTGGAGTGATTTTCTTCTACCTCAACCTAGTCCATTTGTTGAAACATTAAGCAAAGATATTTATAAAACAAGAAGTGGACGAGCAATATTTCGGTTTAAATGGAGGTCCTGTAGACTTCTTTATTTTCATATAATGTTAATCCATGCAATTTTAGCTGTGTATTTTGCCTTTGCTTTTATCTATGGAGATGAAGATGATCGAAAAACTTTTTTGTTGGGTTCAATTATATTTGGATCTTTTTATCTGACTTTAAAACTTCGCCAGCTTATTTACAGCTTTAATAATTTTAAACTTCAAAATTATAAACTCAACGAAATTTGGCTTATTTCTGGACTTTTATTTGGTATAAAAATTTAAACTATTTCATATCATTCAAGAATATATAACAAAGAATACTATTAATTGCTTATACTTAAACATTACAGATGTATCTTTGTATTCAATTACGGTTTTCATTTCTGCTTTTTTATTTCGAACAAGTGAAACCAGAGTTACAACTTCAATTACTTCTTTTTTATGTCTATTTTTATTTATTAAAACAGTCACATTTTTAAAGATATTTAATTTCTATGCTAAATATTATATAGTAGTTGTTAGAGTCGTGAAAAAACTATTATTTTTCTTTATATACTTCGTTCTGATGATTTTATCGAGCTTTGCATTGGCATTTTATATTCTATTATCACCAAACTTGAGTTATTCTTTAGACAAACGTATAGTCAATGATGACCCTAATAATCCTTGGAATTTGATCCCTACTTATCAAGTATATGAAAATGAAACTACTGACGTTTTAAATAATAATTTATTTATTATACAAAAACCTGATGAGAACACAAACATGTTTACAAACATCTTTACTTCATTTTTTGCAACGATTTTATTACTCACAGGTACTGTATATTTATATTTATTTTTTCATTTAAAAAAAGTATTCAACGATAGTTAATTTATCTAATTATTAGGTGACACAAGTTCATTTTCCAATTGGTCATTTGTTGATAATCCGGAGCTTGTAATATTGATGGTTTTATTCATGTTCGCAATGATCATATATATTATTAATGTGTTTATCACATTGTACGGTGAGGTGAATGATGATGACATTCTAGGCGTAGTGTATAAAATGAAAGCGAAGGTATAATACCATTATTTAGCATAATATTGGAATTCATGAATTGTTATAATTACTAAATTATTTAACAATTTCTTGTAGGCTATGTCCGAAATTGAGTTATTTTACATGTTACCACATCAGAGACGTTTTCAAAAATGGTTTCCTGAAGTATTGTATGTATATTCATTTATTTATATGTTTAAATAAATTTACTTAATTTTTTTACTGAATCAAATTTTCAGATATTTTGATGTAGAACTTGGTGAAGCTCAAGAATTAATTAAAGAATTAATTAGTGAGGGCAAATGGAATACTAATGAGTTTCCGGAGATGAAGCAAGATTTGTTAAACAAACTCAAGATCCAACATAATTAGACTTGTCTTATTTGACATATTGAAAGTTGTAATTGCGACTTCGTATGATTTTAATTCCGGTCGAAGTTAACGTAATTTGGCTAGAGTCAACGATATAACCACACAAATTTTTATTTAGAATTCACATTATTTATTTATTATATTTTTTTCTATTTTTTGTATTATTTTACCAAATAATGTAAATTGATATATATATATATATGTATATCAAAACGATTTCATTTATTCATATTTAAAATAAAGAAAAATTATCTGTTGTGCATCTAATCCTTTTGTGTAATTCTAAAGCTTTTATACTAATTTCTAAGTCTTGAAACAAAATATAAGATTAGTTTACATGGTGTTGGACGATTCGGTCAAGAATACTAGTTCGTTGGAAAGATGAGGAGAATACGAAACGATGAAACAAGTGGGCTATGTGGAACGTTTAACGATCAAACGAAACTATAAATATAAAAACTGTCCAGACCAAAATCCGCTTAACAAAAGATATGGAATCAGTTTTCATAAAGGGTGGATCTAATATAACGATAACGAAAAATGGACGTTTATATTTCTTTAGAATGTTTGACGCAAATATTTCATTTAGTAATATAAAGAAAATATATAGTTGGCAGGCGGTTAAAAATCTGAGCGAAAAAGATAATGAAAAGCAGGATTATACGATTATAAAGGATTACATAAGAGAGTATGGCAGTCATTCGCTAAAATCATTAAAATCAACAAAGTGAAATATATTTTAATTCGTGATCCGGATATCGATCAGTTAAAAATTCGTAAATAGTAAGGCACAAAGACAAGTCATTTTTTAATTTTTATCGGAAGAGAAATTAATAATGCATTCGAAAGCTGTGGTTTTTCTGCCATAAAATACTGCGTAACATTTTCATTTGGATGCAGTGACCCCGAGATATACATAAAAAGGGGCGTCCTTAACGTACAGTGGGATGTACAATTTTAACGTACAAACTGGCGGAGTTATGCACTTTCACGTGATAGCGTTAACGTTAATTCCGGCCAGTTTGTACGTTAATATCGCACACCTTCAATGTACATTAAGGAACCTCCATAAAAGGTAGGGTAAGAGTTTGTGTAGAATTGACCAAAATAATCATGTAGATCTTTCTTTTTATAGATAATGCCGGCCGGAATTTATTTCCTTTTTTTAGACGCTGACTGGCATTATAATAATTCCGGCCCTGAAAAAATGCGTAGAGCTAATAGTAATTTTTTTTGGCTGCACCTTACCTCTCTCTATATATATAGCTCGGGGTCCTGATACCTTACCCACAAAAATACCAATTAAATAAATTTCATTAATGATTTACAAAATTTCGCCCCATTTTTTTTTCACTGATTTATAGCCGGATCTCGAATTAATGTATTTTGATAATGAACAATATCTATTCAAGGTCACATATAATTCAGCAATGACCGAAGATTTAGGTAAAGGGCTACATATAAAAGCGCAAGATGAAATTATAAGCAAGGTGGAAGCTTCAAGAAGCCGGCCAATCGAAAGACGGCTAACAAAACGCATCTACAAATTGTTCTTCCCCCGAAGAAGGATGTGCGATAAACTAGTCCTTCGGTTTCAAATAATAACGTGGTAGAAAATTTTAAACAAGATCAGCGGTAAAAAAG